TATTTTTTATGATTTTTTTTATTTTTCGTATTTGAAAAATAAAATAAAATAAAAATGACGTTAAACAACTATGAAATTTTGCAGACACGATCCTTACATTTTTCTGGGTGTGCCTGTAAAAAATGACTACCAAAAATGACAAAAAAAAAGCTTTTTGACAATGTTTTACTTTTCTTTATTTTTTTACGCCACTTTTTGCAGGCATGTCTAGAAAAATGTAACGACCTGTATATCGGCGGGTTGACACGACACGACTAGCTTTGTTTTAAATAGGTCATAATAGTGTCATGTCAACCTGTTTATAATAACCCGTTTATAAAATGAGTGATAATAAGGTCGTGGTAACCTATTTCTCAACATGTTTTTCAACATGTTTCTCAATATATGTAGCAAACGGGTTGTAATTGTGTTGTGTATTCGTATTATCCAAATATGATGCGTTTAATAAATGGGTTACGTCGGGTCAATTGTGGGTTGATGGGTCGACTTAGAAACAACATGCTATTTAATCTTATTTTACATGTTCGACCTGATTTACAAGGTTTGATTGATTGAATTTGATTTAGATGTACAAGGTTTCCTCTAGTTAATTTTTGTCAAATCCTAGAATATTGAAAGAAAATAGATTGAATCCATCAAAAGAATTTGAGTTCAAACTTAAGGATAAAGCATAATTTAATTTTTAAGTGCCATTCAATTTGGAAAAAAGAAATCCAAAAACCATGTAATTTTATTTTGAAGTTTCTTCCTGCGGGGCAAACTTAAAGTTCACAACATCTTTGTTTTGTTTAAAAACTGTGCGGTCAAAATGATTAAACCATTTTGATTATTGGCATAAAGGGAAGAAAAATGATGAAATTCCAATTTTACTTGTTTATGTGTCTCTTGTATTGTCTAAGCATTTGAGTGAAAGCAACCAAGGAGTTGCACTACAATTGTTCAAAGGTGACAACGGTCAATGGCCATGAATTTCTCTGAGCAATATTTTGAATAATCTAGATGAACTTGACTTGCCAAGAACAACACTGTTATAAAACTAATTGGTTTTTCCTAAGAATGCAAAACTAGTTGGTTGAATGAGTTAGATGAGTTTTATGTTTTTTTTTTTTTTTTTGGACGAGTCTTATCTTTGACTCAACTAAAAAGTTAGCTATAAATTTCAGTGACTTTTCAAGTTAGACGTGGGGATCATTGAGATTTTTTAGTTCTCATTTCACTCTCACCCATAAATCATTGAATCAAAATTTGACCCAAAGCAACACAATACATCTGAAATGATGGAAATTAACAAGTAATATATTGAAAATTAATCCACGAAATTGAATAATGAATTCCGTTTTACGTATCTAAAAATATTATACGAGACTAGGAGAAACCATTAGCCTTCAAATGCTCTCAAGAGGCTCAAGATGCGCATACAGTCATATGACTTTTGAGGAAGTGAAGTAATGAAATTCTAAGCAACGAATTGTCCCACCACATCGCCCAAATAAGAGAGAGGGAGTAGTGAATGGTGTATAAAATGGAAGCTTATTCCGTAAATAACTCATACCTTTCCCGGCTTTTTGGTTAAGATCAAGTGTAGTATCTTTTTTTATCAGTTTAATATTTGATATGTGGACCAATGGTCTACATGATATTGATATTAAGGATGTGTTATCATGTATATTAAGAGTGTATTTAATAAGAGAATTTATATTTTGATTTGAATTATAATTTATAATTTATTATAATATTTTTTTATAAAATATACGCGTAAATTAAAAATAATTTTAATTTTTTTATTTTAATTTATGAATTAAACGTCTTTTAAATTAATTTTGTTAGGGGGAGGGCCGGCCACAATAGCTTGTTATTGGGGTCCTCGCCTATGCGTTGCACTACTGCATGGGCCTGGCGCACCCCACAAAGTTTAGTGTATATTTTATTGGGCTCTACAAATCTTGGCTCATCTTTTTCAGATGCTGCTATTTAAAAAAATTGAAAAAAATGGAGAGTTTATCTTATTTTTAAGAGTTAATGAATTTGGACTTACTCGTGATAAATAATTTTTTTAAAGTTATAATTACATGTGATAAATAACTTTTTTAAGATAAATGCTCTTTTATTAGTATAATTATTGAGAATTATTTAATTAAAAAAGTTACGAATCAACTTTTTAAGATAAATATTTTTTATTAGTGTAATTATTAATCAAGGTTATGAATCAAGATTATTTGATTAAAAATGCTATAAATTAAGAGTAAAATCATGATACATGCAACATTACCCTTTAAAATTTAGAATTTGTCAATATTACCCTTTAAAATTTGGACTCCTAAAAAATATACAGAAAAAAAACTTCGTTTAAATAGCATTGAGAACCATCTTCGTGTTTTTTTTTTCTCAATAATATATGTAAAATGACAAGTCGTGTATAAGACTTCTCTCATTAAAGTTAACTGAAAACCACCATCTCAAAAAAATTAGGTAAAATCCTACTAACGGAGCATCAATTTGAACTATCAAAATATTGATAATATGTGAAATACATAAATAAAATTTTATAACTTAAAAGTTGGTGTGGTGTGTTAGATTTATTGGGAGGAAGAGACAGGGTAGAGAGGAAAAAAGAGCGGAATCTTTTGGTGGTTATTTGATAGAGAGGGGAGAAAAATAGGAAGAGAAAATAAGAGAGTTTTTTAAGCAACTAGACCCACTTAATTTTATCTTTCTAAATGTGGCCGAATTGGGAAGAAAATGTATTGTTCATTCCACGAGCATGAGAGATGAGACATTGGCACGTTAGGGCACAATACATTTAACACCAAATTATACTTTTTTTAATTTATAGATAATTTATAATATAAATACATGAAAATTGAGTTATTTACTCATTATAACAAAAAGAACAAAACAATTTTAAAATAAAATCATAAAAATTCCAATAATATTGAGTTTTTTAATCAACTTTCATGTATGTTTTATTTTATTATATAAATAATTCTCACATAGAAAATCAAAATAGTTTTTTTTTTAAAATTCAAAATAGTGAAAAACTAATATCAAAGTTTAATAATGGGCAAATATAAGCATAAAATGAGTTAATACGATTAAATACGTGGGTTGACACAACATGACACATGAGTATAAAAGTGAATGCATCGTGTCGAGTTAAATAGATAAGGACTTATAGATTGACACAACATAACACAAGCAAATAATAAAACGTGGCCAATATGGCAGAATAACAAAATTGTGCCTAATTATAGCTCTAACTACTAAAGTCTCGTTCATTTCACCGATTCGAGTTTTTAGTTTTAGGTTTTTACAGTAAAAAATTATCAGAAAATGTCACATTCAACTTTTTCTGTTACAGTGAAAAACTCTCATAAAATATCACATCTCAGCTCGAATTAAAAACTTGAATCCGCGAAATGAACGAGACTTAATACTACACAAGTAACGGTAACTTCAGTGGAAAAAAAAAAGTTTATAGGGTTTGATTTATAAAAGTGAATTATCAGTAGGTATATGTTATTCAGCCTTTAAATTTGTATAAAAATTGTTTATTCAACCGACTTTTTTACTTTAATATCATTTGTTCAAATCCAACTGATCTTAAAGACCAAAAAGAAAATAGTGCAAGTAAACTCGTTTTTTCTTCATTTATTTTTGTTTTCCATCACTCTCATATTCTCTCTCCTCTCTATAATATAATAATGATCATCCTCTAATCATTACAGATGTGATTTGCCCAAATTATAATTAATAATCGTTATGTTCAACTTGCCGCCGATACGACTGTACCATCATTCGATGACGTGGCACTATCTTTTACGCAATTACGAATCGTTTAAGAAAATTCTGAACCAGAAAGGACATTGATTTGCCCAAATTATAATTAATAATCGTTATGTTCAACTTGCCGCCGATACGACTGTACCATCATTCGATGACGTGGCACTAGCTTTTACGCAATTACGAATCGTTTAAGAAAATTCTGAACCAGAAAGGACAGCATATGTCAGAATTTTTTATTAACATGTTGACGTGGCATTAATCAGCTGACGTGTAAACGGGTTCTTAATTTATTGGTCAGGCTTTACACAGAGCTGAGGCTTAGGCCGTGGTAGCTCACGAATTGCATGCACTTTCCACGTGTTTGCACGCGCTTTGTTGTTTCTACAAAATTCCCGTCGCCAAATGGGACCACTTACATATGTCACAATTTATTTATCAAAAGTGTGCGCTATTCGATGTTGACCACAGTTTGGTTAAAAGTTTTGACCGTTGATCTGGTCAAGTCACCAGAATGGGCAGCTAGGATTAAAAGAGCAACTCAATTATACGCGCTTGACAAGCTCGCGTGTAGCTCGTGCAAGAACTCGTTGGGCACGTTCTGCGTATCCGCTCGTGCACTAACGTGGCTGGCTTGTAGCCTCCCCATTTCACAATCAGATTTTTATTTTAAAAATAATAATAATTGTTTTAAAATCGAAACCTTTTTGTTTTTTGAAAATGAAACACGATAGTATATGTTTGAGAAGTGGAAATTCCCAAATTTATCGTCTTTAAATTTTAAAATTTGGAGTATTTAATATTTATCAAGTTTATCTAAAAGCAAAATAATTTTCAGTTAAAAAAAAAAAAACTAGAGTACTTGAGTAAAAAGGAAATATTTTAGTATTTTACAGATCGCACTCCAGCAAAAACAGGTTTGTTTTTCCTTTTTTTTTAAAAAAAAAAAAAAAAGAGGTTTGTTTTTATTTTCACTAACAAATTAATCACCGTATAAAGTAATATCTTTAGCTGACGTGGCGGTTGCAACTTAAAAACAAAAAAAAAGAGGTTTGTTTTTATTTTCACTAACTAATTAATCACCGTATAAAGTAATATCTTTAGCTGACGTGGCGGTTGCAACAAATCATAGTTCCTCCCAACCGCAGAGAGTTAGATCCGAATCAGAATTTCCTCGTAGCTACTTCACACGCCCTTTAAAAGTGAGATCACATATAGATACAAATAATATATAAATCACATTTACGCAGCAAAAGAGACCTTCATGGTTATGGAGTAGAAGAAACATCTCACTAATCCAAAATCTCAACCGTCCAAAAAGTTCATCATTTTCTTTTCTTCTACTCCACAGCTTCGTATATATTATTCCAACAAGAATTCAATCGAAAACCGTTTTCAGGATAAAGGTAAAGAAAAACCAAGAAAACCGTCTGACGCTCTAATGGCGTCGTCGGCGAGCGTTCGCTGCGGAGGCAATTGCAATCTCCTGGATCGCCGACTCGGCAATGTCCAGAATCCGTCGAATCAGAGCGCTCGATCATGTTCTTTGATGATCCGAAATAACGGCGCCTATTCATCCGGATGTAGAAGAGGAAGAATCATCTCGGCGACGATGACGATGGAGAGGAAGAGGAACGCTCCAGCGCCGATGTTTCCATTGGAATCGGGTGATGTGGAGAGCGGAAGAAGAAGCGGCGGAGGCGCGGAGGCGGTGGCGTACGAGAAGCTTGACGAGTGGATGAGAGAGTCGGTGGTGGATATTGTCAAGAATCTCCGCGAGGCGCCGCTGATGGTCCAATTGTACGGAAAGAAGGACGAGAGAGGCCAAAACGACGGCTTATCTGGGAGGATGGTGATGCAGAAGGCGGTGGCGGAGGAGCACTGGGATGTGGCGATGGGGAAGTGGGAGGCAGGCGACTCCCCGATGCCGGAGGGGCTTATATTCGTGGAGAAGCTCGCGGAACAACAGCAGGAGGAGGAAAACGACATCGGAGAAGCCGAAGCGGACGGCGTCACGAGAGCGTGGGGGGTGGTGATACAGGGCAAGGGCGCGGAGTGCCCGCCGGCGTGTTATTTGCTAAAAACCAGCACCGCCATGGCTGGGTCGGGTTTCGGTGTCGGGTTGGGATGTACTCATTTTTGTTTGGTCCGGGTTAATGGGTTCTGGGAGACGGCCGAGTCTCAGCTCAAGAATTGTTGGTTGCTGCAGGCCCAGGCCCGTAATAAGGCCCAGGGCCAGTGATTGAATTGTAGATTGATATTTTCCTTTATTCATCATTACTCAATCCATTAATGTTGGATTCGTTTCGATGATCTTGCCTTAAGGATGTACATAGGATTATCAAACCCTTGTATAAAAAATTTGATTGCTGGTGATAAATTGGATTTAAATTTTTATGTCTCTTTTCTCAATCTTAGGCTCTCAGATTTATTGCTTACACAGTCTATCAGTCGAATCCTGAAATAAAGTTTATGCCCAAACTTATTTCTTTCAGTTTTTTTAATATATATTTATTTTCTTAAAGGTAGTAGAGAAAATACACAGACTTAGTAAGTGACTTAAAACAAGTAAGGATTAAATTTATGAATAGTATTACGATATCAAAGTAATATTTAAAAAAACACACAATACTAAAGTGATCTTTTCCCCTAGATAAATTACACATTTCTCCCCTAATTATAAAGTTTTGTCACAAAATATCTCCTAAATTTTAATTTTAGCTTTTTTTTTTCCGAACTTCAACAACTCTTAAATTTTTATTTTTGTTATTACTGTTGACCGCCATTGATGAACTTCCAAGATTTTTTGAATCAAGTAAAATAAGAAAAAGTTACTGCATGATTGCCCTTTTGTGTGACTAAATGAGGAGGAGCTAACAGAGTAATTTTGTACTAAAAAGGGTTTAACGACACTCACTATTTCTCTAATACGTGTTAATTCTGTTAAAAGTCTTAACATAAGGATTTTTTTTTTTGCAATTTTTACATTTTATGTGACATTTCCACCAAAAATTTAATTGAGAGAGAAAATTTACTAGAATTGTTAAAGTTCAAGGAAAAAAAAAGTTAAAATTACAATTCTGAGGGAATTTTGTGACAAGGTCTATAATTCGAGGGATAAAATGTGTAGTTAAACTATTCCCTAACTAGTAACGTTTCTCGACATTTAAACAATGACAGTTGTTATTCTTGACGAAAAAATTTTGTCGCGTTAAAGTTTGTTATACTTATTTTAGTATTAAGATATCAATTTGAAAATCTTAAGAAAAAATGATTTGAAAAATATTGAATCACACAATACTTTAATTCTATTTTAATAAAAGATACACTCATAAATTTTAAAAAATCAATGAGAAAAAGAAAAGACAAATAATGACTCATTGAAACTAGAGTGTGTATGACTGAAAAGAATATTTCCATAGGATAACAACCACACTATTTACAAGATTCCTATTTATTGGTTAAAAAATAAAATCCACCTCAAAAATAAAATCAAAAGCCTTAAGGAACTAGCCCTTGTGAAGTAATCCTCATGATTAATAAAAAATTGGCTACTCGCGGTCACTTCGTCCCCATGATTAGTAAGTTTGTGTTTGGTTCAATGATTTATGTTATGGTTCGAATCATAATTCGTGACTCATTATAGTGTTTTTTTCACACAAAAAAACACATCTAAATTGAGAATGATTCTGAATCTATCAACTAAACGTCTCATAAAATATTCAAATGATCATTGATCATATCTATCCAGGAAATTCAAGATAATTCGAGATTATATAGGTTAAAGGAAAAGTAAAAGTGTAAAGCCGGTAGAAATATCCAGCTGGACTAAAAAGAAATAGGAGTGGGATTATAATTCTTTTGACGGTGATAAGACTTGTATGTCCTACTCTTTAATCGTCTTTTATTTATTTCTTGTTTTTTGTTTTTTTGATAATGAATATAGACTTGTGTTTGAACTCGAACAGGATTCTGATTGTGTATTTCGACTCAAACACACACTTGGAGAGGGAATTGATACTCTATATAATAGAGGATAACCAATTTTATGAGCACGTTTTCCTTATCAAGGGAGGCTCTATAAATCTAGCGGAAATATTAGGCGTACAAAGCTTTCTTGTTAAAGTTCATGCTTTGCGATTCGATATGCAACTTTTTTTACTGAATATGTTTGGCTTATAAATATTTCTATACGTGATAATATTTAAGAATTCAAAAGCTCATAACTTATAATCGTGTCAACTCGATTATGACCCAAACTCATTTATAATAAACTCAAACCCGCTAATTTTGTGCGGGTTTCAAATCGTGTCGTCGTGTCGCTATTCAGATTGTCAGCTATAATCCCTAACGAGGAAAATACATGGCTAATATACAATGCCATAAATAATAAATTCTTAGAGCTCAAGCTATCAATACCACATGGTAAACGTTTCAATGGCTTTTTCATATGAATGGTTGATAAGTGTCAATAAAAACTACACTGTCACACTTTATAAATCTTATTTTGAGGTAAATAGTGAACCGAGAAAAATTTGTCTTTGGTTCAATAATTTATGTTATGGTTCGAATCATAATTCGTGACTCATTATAGTGTTTTTTCTCACAAAAAAAAACACATATAAATTGAGAATGATTATGAATCTATCAACCAAACGTTTTATAAAATATTCAAATGATCATTGATCATATCTATCCAGGAAATTCAAGATAATTCGAGATTATATAGGTTAAAGGAAAAGTAAAAGTGTAAAGCCGGTAGAAATATCCAGCTGGACTAAAAAGAAATAGGAGTGGGATTATAATTCTTTTGACGGTGATAAGACTTGTATGTCCTACTCTTTAATCGTCTTTTATTTATTTCTTGTTTTTTGTTTTATTGATAATGAATATAGACTTGTGTTTGAACTCGAACAGGATTCTGATTGTGTATTTCGACTCAAACACACACTTGGAGAGGGAATTGATACTCTATACAATAGAGGATAACCAATTTTATGAGCACGTTTTCCTTATCAAGGGAGGCTCTATAAATCTAGCGGAAATATTAGGCTTACAAAGCTTTCTTGTTAAAGTTCATGCTTTGCGATTCGATATGCAACTTTTTTTACTGAATATGTTTGGCTTATAAATATTTCTATTCGTGATAATATTTAAGAATTCAAAAGCTCATCACTTATAATCGTGTCAACTTGATTATGACAAAAACTTATTTATAATAAATCTAAACCCGCTAATTTCGTACAGATTTCAAATCGTGTCGTCATGTCGCTATTCGGATTGTCAGCCATTGTCCCTAACGAAGAGAAAAAATACATGGCTAATATACAATGCCATAAATAATAAATTCTTAGAGCTCAAGCTATCAATACCACATGGTAAACGTTTCAATGGCTTTTTCATATGAATGGTTGATAAGTGTCAATAAAAACTACACTGTCACACTTTATAAATCTTATTTTGAGGTAAATAGTGAACCGAGAAAAATTTGTCTTCCCACTCTATTTCCTCCTCATCTAGAAGATGATCCTTATTTAGTAATTGGCTCAGACAATTCTGAGGAAGAAGAGATTATATTCTCTTCCTGTGAGTATCATATTCATAAAGCCTTATTAATAGAAGCTAACCCGATAGCAAACCCAAATGAATTCACAATTGTAGTGATATTTGGTGAATATTGTGAGTTGGCATTTATTAGATATCCTAAAGACACAACATGGACTAGAATCAAAACGACTTGTGGTCCATTTGATGATGTTTTGTATTATAAGAATCAATTTTATGTTGTAAGTTGGAGTGGTGCACTGTCTCTTTTGACACTACAGACTCAATAGATTTAATTGTAAATTTTTAAACACCTCAATTGTCAGATGTTCAAGGCAAAAGATATCTTGTAGAATCGTACGGAGAACTTTTACAAGTTGAAAGGATTTTTCGTTTTCGTGAAGGGTTTTGTGTGACAAAAAAATTCAAATTTTTCAAATTAAACGTTGAGACAAGAGAGTGGGTTGTGATAAAAAAAAGTTTTGGTGAGGTTGCCTTATTCTTAGGGGATACTACTTCTATATCGGTCTTGGCTTTAAATTTCGAGGGATGTCAACCAAATCATGTATATTTCACACATGATGAAGATAGTATTTATGTTGCAAATACTCCTTATATTTGTGATAAGTAAGAACTTCAAATTGCAGTACACCATAGATTCAGCTGTTCTAAGTAAAATGACTAGTCGACCTCCAATTTGGGTAGTATCCACACTTATGTGTGTGTGTGTGTATATATATATATATATATATATATATATTTTTTTTTTTTTCCCTTGTCGTTAATTTGTTTTTCTTCAAGACATAACCTTTTGCTTTGTCAAGTTGTGTACTTTCTATTAAGCAATTCTAGTAAATATTTGATGAAAAGATTGTGATCTCTAATATATTTAACCACGAAAGCGTTTTTTTGCTAACTTCTCTCTTCCTTTCTCCTTTCTTTTGCCTCCTAAAGAACTTGTTCGATATATTGCCATCTGAAGGAGTCCACTTCCATGGAATTGACTAAAGATGTCGACCCTCAATAAAGTTAGCCATGAACATTGTAGATTCATTCAGAAAAAATTGCGGTGAATGGCCCTTCAAAAGCCTAGATGTCCTTGATTTTATCAGATTAAAAAAAAAATGACTTTTCTTAAAGTAAAAGTTAGAAGCGAAAACAAAATATAAAAGCTACAAATTCCTTACTTCAACAAATAACTTAAAAAATGGATTGATTTTTGTGCAAAGTGATTTTCAACCTTTTAATCTTATTGATTGATATAATTTACTACTTATTAATTATTGATTAATCATTGGTATCAACTCATGTTTAGTTTATCAATTTTCAATACACAAATTTTTAAGAAAGGAATGTTTTACTAATTTTAACAAAATTAAGGACATTACTAAAACTATATTACTTAATTACCTTTTTCTTAATTACCTTTTTGCACATTTAGGATGGCCATGGCCCTTTTCAGCTACTTAATTCAAAGAAACGACCCAACTTTTCATTTTTGTTTTTTTAAATGGCTTCTACTATCTTCCTTTCCCTTCTCTCTGGCTTCACCAATAATTTTAGATCATGATATCTCATTATTAAAACATGCTTATAGCGAATCTAAAATATGTATCGACATTTGGCAATCAATCCATATGATAATCATTATTACTGTTTAAATTAATTAATAATTATGGGCGAATATTTAATGGAAAGAATTTGTAGAATCAATATGAATTTCTATCATGTTCTTTTTAGCATCAGATGGTTTTAGAGTTGGAAATGAACGTCCGGCAAATACCAAGTTCATAAACACAATTCAGCTACAGCTTTTAAAAATCAATGAGAAAAAGAAAAGACGAGTTGTACCAAGGGACTACCACATCGTATAGGGAGGTATAATTGTCAATACTTCTTTCATTTAAAAGAGTATAGAAGGTCACATTATTTAAAGGAAATGAAAAACATATATGACGCTGATGTTAATATTTTTTGAAAATCAAAAAGAAAAAAAAACAAAAGAAAATCTTATGTGATAATTTTTCTCAGCTACTAGTGTAGAATCATCAAATGTTACAGTCTGGACAATTACGAAAAGACTATATTATGTCAAAAAATTAAGAAAGAAATCAAGATAGAATAGAATTTATTATGTTTACCTAAGATTTACAAATATGTGTGTCAAATCTCTGGACTTTCCACGGAGCGGATAAACAGTTTGGGTCTTATTCAGATGTGCTCCTCGGCAATGTTGATGAAAGATCTTCTTGGATGTCAAACTTGCTCGCACAATAATGACAATAAATTTGTGGGCACCAAAGGACTGGCCTGAACTTTTACAACAATTTTTTTTGAAATATATATATATATATATAAAATAAGAACAAATTTATTAAATTTATTTTTAAAGTGCATGAGTTTAATTTGACCTCTTACTTTTTATTAATACTTGTTAGATAATTTATTAATTGGCTTGTCTTTAGCACGTGTCTATAAATTAAAAAAAAAAATAAATAGTAAGTGATCATGATGCAAATTTAAGGATCGAGTTATGAAGAAGAGAAAATGTTGATTGGCTTGATTATGGAAAGGATTGACTTGTGCGGATTTGGTTGACTTTGAAAAGAGATATTATGGGGATTAGATGGATATGTATTTCATGGAGTTGATTTTGAAAGATGATTTGATTGTCATATTTAAATTAAGAGATTTGTAGATTTGTTGGAGATAATGTGCTCATATGAAAAAGTGGAGATCAAGTTTGAGTTTAAAAAGAATTTGTTGCATAATCAATTTGAAGAGATATTTTAGATATATTTGATTTAGAGTGCAAATGGTATTTATCTTGGTGCCTAAGTAGCATATGCTAAGTGATTTGCACGTGCTCTGCAAAATAAAAGAGCAAATTCAGATTGTATACAGTTTGAGTGTTGAATTTTAAAACTCTATTTACGTGGAGATTTTGGACAGAATATTTGAGAAGAACAAGCACAAGAAATTTTGAGAGGAGATAAATGTGAAGATAATCCAAGACAAAATCGTGGAGTATGTCCGGATAGAGAAAATCGGTTAATGAGGAGATATTTTGTAGAGATAATCATATGGTTGTTTTAGATCACATGTGAAAAATTATTCTAACTATTGCTATGTGTAGCATGTGTGTACATGAAGTTTGGAGCGAATATTAGGCTTTTATGTTTTTGAAGTTTTAAAGCAATTTAAGGCTGCCCATATGAAGTGTGTTTTTACAGAGAAAAAGTTGTGTTAGTGAATCTTTGAGTGTTATTGAGTTCGTCTTTTGAGAAAATGATTAGAAGCTTTCAGGAGGAAGCGTACTGCTAGCTGAAGGGATTTTACCGTAAAGTTTGAAGACAAGTGGTGTTCGCTGGATAAGGTCATTAATGAGATTCGACACAGCAGCAACAACATCAAATATGGAGTCTTTGAACGTATAAGTCCGATTAGTGTCTGTAATTCTTTATAACTTAGTAGATTGTTCACTGTCTGGGTGTGGCTCCGCATATGTATGTCGTTTAACTGAACTGCAATACCAACCTTTGGTGTTTTTTACATTCTGCATGGTTAACTTACGTTTATACATTAAAAAGACGCAATTAATCGCCAGTGTTTCATAAAGTGTTACAACACTATCTGGAACACCTGTGTAAAAAACATATCTTTCAATACTTTTTTTACTAATATAATTTGTCTAAAAAAAATATTAATTAACAATAAGGGTAGAAATCTATACCCATGCATTTTAAGGTGTATTTGGCCTAACCCAACTGGAGGTTTGAACCGAGACTGGGCTAACAGTGATAGATTTTAAACCGATCCATTTGATCTGACTCAAACTTATAACTCTATTTACCACAAGAAATAACATATGATAAATATGGCATTTGATCGTTATTTGTTGATATATTTACCTTTTCATTAATTATTACAACTTTTACATTTTTAAATTATTTTAAATTTAAAAATTTACTTTTACAACTTTGAAAACTTAAACATTATAGATTAGAGCACAAATGAAAATAATATATTTCTTAAATTAATAAAAGAAATTATGAAGTAGCAAACTGTAGTCAAAATAAGCACAGCCGACACAGGGGATAGAAACAAAGCCTAATAATAAATCAATCTTCGTGACTGAAGCTTATGTTAGGAAATTACGAATCCTAATAATTATAACAATTATATTGAGACTATTTAATTATAATGGGTTTTTATAAGTGGTCTATTTAGGAAAGTCTAATAAGACTTCTAATTGAATATGAGATAAATGAGTAGATACCTAATGCTTATCTATCAGATTTAATGAGAGCCTATTAGATAATATATAAGAACTTATAGGTTATAGTCCCTAATACATCAAATCATTTGGTCGTTTTCTCTCTTTCCCATCTAGAGAGAAATACCCCATTAAAGAACTCTGGTGATTTGACTGAGAAAGACAATAAATGGTTCGTCAATCATCGCAAATTTTCCGTTAAGTTGTTGATTGTCGCTACTATGGATTCAGGTATGCTTCTTCAATATTATCTTGGTAATTTAACATGATGGTTCTTAGAATTTATGAATATGGTGATTATATATATATTTGTAATTAAAGACTAACAACTTACACTCAAGAGAACGAATAATTAAGGGGTTGTTCTTTTACATTTTTAAGTTACGGTGATTTGAGTGATGATCTTAAGTTGAGTTTGAGTTATAATTTGAGTTGAAATTGTAACTTGAGTTTGTGTTTGGACGTGCACATTTGAGTTATGAGAATCTATTTGAGTTTGTGTTTGAGTGGGTCAAAACTTAAATTTGTATTTAGATAACATTTTAATAAAAACTCAATGGTGATGAAAAATTTTAATAGGGTATATGGGTGGTGTTTTATTCGTCTTTTCATTGTGAATGCATAGAAAAAAATCATCTCAATCAAAATTAAAACGAAAAAATTATGACATTTTTTAAAATAAAAAAATATTATTCATTAACTTGAGTTCGAGTTTATGAACTCGAGTTGAAGGGAAAATTTGAACTCGAGTTTAGCCCCAAACTCGAGTTCAAACTCAAATTTTACAAAAAAAACATGAACTTAAATAAAATTATAACTCAAATTCAAATTTTTTCTGAATTTCGTTGCAAAAGAACAACCCGCCTCATGACATGCAAAACTAGATTACACAACTAGATTACACTAATTATCCCCCTTCCTCACTGGGGTCAAATATGATACTTTTGGATGGATCAGATGTGTGGTTTGTTGCGTTTTAACGTTTAGGGACCAAAACGAGATAAAATTTGTTACTTCAGGACTAGATTTAAACACATGGTATAACCTTACTACTTATGTTTAAATATAATAAAAAAATTTAAAATAGCTTATGAATATCAAAAATCAATCTCACTATAACAATTGGCCATATAATTTTGTAGTATAGTGACGTGATCACTATAATAATAACTGATGTCTTCTGAATTTTAGAATTATTCTCAGTTTGTTATCTGAATTTTAAAAACTCTCACTTTGCTTCTTGAATTTTGAATTGTTTTAACATAACCTTCTCTATTGCAATTTCTAATAAAAATAGATAGAAAAAAAAAATGAGAATAACGCAGTTACGTGGTCTTTCTGTTTAGATTTTTGTTCAAAATAAACATATAAAAATCACATGATCACACTTAATTCCTCTTTTTCCATCTGATTTTAACAGAAATTACAATAAAAGTGGTTAAGTGAGAACAATTCAAAACTCATAGCGCAAAGTGAGAGTTTTTAAAATTTAAGAAGTAAACTAAAAATGACCTTATAGTTCAGGAGACACTGGTGAGAATAATATTAATAACAACTATGACCCTGCCTAGTAACGTTTTTGTTTTTGTTTTTTAACAAACAAAAAAAAAATATATATATATATATATATATTTTTACTGGTTTTTTTTTTCATTTTTTGAAACAAAAACATGTTTGTAACTACCATTTGTTTTTTATTTTTAAAAACAAAACATAAAAAATGCCTTTGGTAACAATAATTAGCCGTATTATTCTTATTTAAAAAAATTGCAATATTTCAATTCTACTCTTTGTTTACTCTACTCTTCAATATTTCGTGTAATTTTTACGAAATTAAAAATAAAAAATGGAGACATTGGCTTGGCACGTCGGATAACTTGGGGGCAAATGAGTTGAGGGAAAAATAGGGCCCAATACAATAAAAATATGTCCCTCCAAAGCATTTGAATTTAAAAAGTCCCACGTTGTTAGTCGCCCCCCATTCTTCATCTAAAAGTAATTATAGTAGTTTAGAGCCAAAACGTTAGCAGACAAACGTTTCTAGGCGCGCTTTTCTCTATTTCTTCTATCTCCACCAAATTCAAAATCATTTCTTCAATTTCTTAATCAAAAACCACGCAGATCTAGCCGCCCGTCCGAACCCTAGTCCCCAAATCCTCTCGATCTTATTCCCAAAACCTTCCAATCTTCTTCGCATCGGCCATTTTCTCCATTCTAGTGCAAAGATTCTTCCTTTCCCGTCCTCGTCTGTTCTGCCCATGAGCCAGATTTTTGGGTTCTCGGAAAAGCGTCAGAGTTGAAAAGTTCTTGTTTTTCGAATTGGGTTTGAAGGATTTTACGTAATGGAGAATCAACGCGAATCGGAAGCCAATTTGGACCGGTCTGTACTGATGCCTAAATCCGATTATCAGGTGGCTTCTTGAGGGGTTTGAGAGAATTTTTTGACGATTTGTTTCTGATTCAATTTTGTGCTGAAGAAATCTTTTCTTTTTTCTTTTGAAAAAAAAATTCTTTTGGGTTTGTGGTAGACGGTGGGTGAGAAGCGGGGCAGCGCAGAATCCGGATATGAACAACAGCGTAGTCCTCGGAAGCGAGTCAAAATGCGAGATCTTGAATCCGTGTGTCGCTCCGACGGTATTTCTCTTAACGCCAATGAATTTCTTGTTTGTTTTTGCTCTACGATTCAAATGGATAGGTAAAAATGTTCATATTTTGCTTAATACAACTAAGTGGATTATATATGCAATCGATAATGACAAATTGCGTAACTTCACATTTCCAATCTATTTAACGCCCTTTATTAGTGGAGACGAACTATTAAGGTTGACAGTGGTCTAAATTAGTCTAGATTAAGGAATTACCGCGTGCTAATCTCTCCAAAGGAAACACGACGTTCTTTTTTTTTTTTTTGGGTAACTTTAGTTTCCTAAGCCCTCAAAGAGAGAGGTTCGTGGCTGCTGATATGGCTTTTGAAACTACACAAATTTTCCTTTTTCTCATCAGCAAATGGTTTTGAGTTTATTGCTTTACTTTCACTATTGCGCCGCAGAAACCAACTCCCATTTACTCAAAACTATGAAGAACAAAGAATGTAGTGCTGAACATGAGTTTGATCAAAAGGATAAGTCTCAACTTACTGAAGTCCGTGTAGGGTTGGATTCAGATGCTTCCCATGCAGAAAAGATTGGAAAGAAGACATTTCCAGGGGTGGCTGATTCTCCCCCTAGACCGCTGGATCTCAACACAGAAATGTGCATTCCCAAAGAAAAGGTTCATGACGATAGCCAGGAATGTTCAAAGAGTTCCGACAAAAGGGAACAGTATACTGAATTTGTAACTTCAAGGGGTATTGGACTCGATCTCAATTCAGAAGATGTTTTCAGTTCAATGAACCAAGATCCATTTTTCCCTTACAAAAGTCACAGTCAGTCGAAACCAAGAGACATCTCTGAGTGTGCGAGCTCGACTGGCCCACTGGAAGAGAACGATCCGATGAGAGTTTGGAAGGAGATGAAGCAAAATGGTTTCCTCTCATCCACGCATGGAGGCGTACCAATTCCAAAGCAACGTGGAAGGAAAAGTAAAAGTGATGTGCTCAAGAAAAAGATGGAGATTGCAAAGAGAGAGCAGGTTGACAGGTTTACAAAGATAGCTGCTCCAAGTGGACTGCTCAATGAGTTGAATCCTGGGATTATCAACCATGTGAGGAACAGAAAACAGGTACATTCGATAATTGAGGCCCTTGTAAGGTCTGAGAGACACGAAAGCAACCAAGTGGGAAACAAACAAACAAGCCATACAAAAAGTGGAACTACAGAAATTTGCAATCGCAAGGACCAGGAGAACTTGAATGATTCTGCTATACAGGGAGTTAGTTCGTCTCACGAAGACAGGCCACCAAACACAGTCTCGTGGGTGAGGCAAGTAAGAGGGTACCCTCCGTCACTAATTAAGTGTCCTGTGATTCTTGAGGGAAAAGGTGTAGAAATTGACCAAACCACAATAGAAAGGTTTTCGCTTAAAACCGGTGCTTCAGAATCTACCCTTGTAAATGAGGAAGATGCATTAGCATTGAAGTTGTCATCATCAACTAAGACGTCTGAGAACGAGAGCTCTCTCTCTAATGAGGATTCGGCATCATATCTTTCAGTCAAGGGTCAGTGTTCAATTTCCTGTTCTTATGTATCGTTATTTCTTCCCCAGTTCTTTCTTTAACAAATTCGTTTTATGACTTATAAAATAACAGAGTGGAAAAGTTGTCAAGGCAATGTTTGGAATCTGACACATTCGATTTAATAATGAACACCAAGGAGGAAAGTTCTGTGATATAAAACTATGTAGATAGAACCAAATAAAGGAATGAATTTCTTTTTGCTCAAGATATGGGACTGAATTTTTGTCTTTAGCTCTACAAGTGGTGTTAATACTTTTATGTTTCTCAGCCGCTACCGTTGCTTCTCAATGGTTGGAACTTCTTCAACAAGATATTAAAGGACGTCTTTCAGGTAAAGCTTCTTTTCTGATTTATTACTATTTTATTCAGGGACAAACATCCTCTCATCTCTTTGATGGAATTTGCTATATGCTGTAACTGCAGCGCTACGACGCAGTAAGAAGAGAGTTCGAGCAGTAATCAGTACAGAGTTGCCTTTCTTGTTATCAAAGGAGTTTTCATATGATCAGGAGAATGATCCCTATGCAATGAAAACTTCAGCAGATGGGTTTTCTAACCGTGCAACTGCAGAAATGCATCGAGCAAGATGGAGCAGACTGTTTGATCAAATGGATAAATCACTTTCTGAAGAAGAGAAACAACTGGTGAGTATCATCAAGTCCCGAAGGACGTTTTTAAAATGATTTTGTTTTTCATACAAAAGTGAAAATGAGATTGTTTTGAGAATCATTCTGAAACTAATTTTGAAATTGTGTTTGGTTCGTTTTTTAAAAGATTGTTTTGAGTATAATAAAAAAAATAAAATCGTGTTTGGTTATAATTACTAATTAATATATTATAACATTGTTGATAAGTACTAAAAAATAAAAACAAAGGGAAAAACAACTTTCAACCGTTTTTTAATTCGTTTACAAAAATATTTTCACTGTTTTTTGTTTTCATTTTCGTTTTCAAATATTTACTAAATAAACACAATTTGCGGACCTTTTTTATTTTCATGTCTCAAAAGGTGTAAAAACGTTTTTAAAAACAATAAAAAAATCAATTCCAAACGCACCTTTAAATTCACAATCTTGGCTTCTCTGGAAGCTTCATTATCTCGCGTATTTTTTTCAGGCACCTCAAAACAGGATTTACAGTTTCCAAGATTCTTGATTCTTTTTGTCTTTATTTTAGCACTAGAAATTTTGTCCATGATGGAATCAATGGTGTTGATTTTCAGGAAAGTTGGTTGAACCAAGTAAAGGAGATGCAAATGCATTGTGAGCAGGGTTTGCAACACATGCACTGGAATACACCGTTTGGCATTCAACACTTGGGAACGTCTGACAGTGACTTCAGGTAAAGCTAGTCCTTCGGGGCATGACATTCACGTCCTGTGATTACAACTTCATGTACTCATGTTGGTCTTAGTCATGGTGCTTGTGAAAGAATCATACTTGAGGGTTTTTTTTTTTCTTTAATAATGTAGAAGGTGTTTTATTTGTATTTATTTTTAATTTTTTTAGGTAGGGTAAAAGGGAAAGAAATTTCTTGAATGATATATTCAAGACTAACACATTATCTTGTCTTGCAGATCACAGAAAATGGACAGCTCAGAAAGAGAATTGGCCGTCAGGGCTGCTGCAGCTTCCATTTATTCAACATGCAACTTCCTTTTGACTGAAAATATATCCTGTTTCTGATTGTCATTACCTAGACTTCCTTTTCAATCCGTCTAATTGAGGGCTTCTTTCCCTCCCCTGTTAACTAACAGTGAGCAAATTGCTGATTAGGCTTCTCAAATGGTAAGGCATTGTTGATTACTGTTTGTACCATTAGACTGAAAGTTATAAATTTTCAAATTTACTTGCCAGCCTTTATTGGAATAGCCGACTGTTCTTGATATGTAACTGTTGAATCAATGGTGATTATTTTTTCCCACTCCTTTTGATTGAATAAACAGTATTATTGGTATGTTTAGTTTATAGGCTTAAACAAAAAATTTAAATAGAAATTCAAATGTTTAAATTTTTATGAGAGAAAACAATGTAGCAAAAAAAAAAAATGTTTTTTCAGTTCTTCAATTTGCATTTCTTTCTTGGTTTTTTTTTTTTTTTTTGCTAATCAGGTTTGGGTTTGAGTTTATATATACTCTTTTTTAAGGGTCCGTTTGATTCGTTAATTTGAGTTGATATTTAATTTTATGTGAGAATTTTTTACTGTAATAAAAAATTACGTGACTGTTCTGAGAGTTTTTTATTATAACAAAAGTCGAATCGGTAAAATAAATAAGATCTAAATTTTAATGTCAACTTTTAAAAAGGGGATAATTCTTGTCTTTTCAACTCGGTACATTTTTCTTGTAATATTTCCCAAAGTCCTAACATGCAAAGTCTTTTATGCATTAAAATTTCAGCGTGATGAATCACTTGTCTGATAAACTGTCACTAAAACTGAGAATATTAGAATCAATTAAGTAGTTAAAGTTTGGACCCAGTTGATAACTGATAATAAAACGCCAAAAGACGAACGCTCCAAATTTCAATCATTTTTGTACGAGAAAAGTACACGATTTACTAGGATTTTGTGCATGTCTTTTATTTATGTCGTTTTAAATAATTGAACACCATCATAAATTTTTATTTTTTCTTTATTAGTTAAACAGTGATTGTTTATTTTTGAATAGAGTGGCATAAATAAATATTTTTAGTTTTTCCCCTCGTTGCATTTGTGCCATACACCAACTTTTGGTCTTAGTAGGTGGTATAGCCGGAAAAAGAAGATTCATAAACATCACCAGCTGCTCCACCAAAAATGAATACGTAATATATTTGAATTTTTTACACGAGCTATACTCAAAATACAATGCTGCTCGGATATAATCATAGATTACAGACTTTGTTCCTACCTAACTCTCATTCTAGGTTTCCACAAAGCAGCTATGGCAAGGCTTCTATAATTTACAAGGCCCTGTACTTCATCACCGTGTTTGCGTTGTAAGAAATGCAACACTAAGAATAAGAACCTATTAGGAATACAGTTAGTAGAAAAGCAACTTAAACGTGGCATGCTTGCAGCAGAGGACGAAAGCCCCAAATCTTTATCACGTTTGTAAGCTGCAGAGCTCCCTAGAGCCAGTTAGGCGCCATCTTGCTCGACATCGGTTTTGATAAGGGGTCATCTGGTACCTTTGCTAGTGATCGATACTGTAATTTGACACTCTCAGCATTATCCAATGTCTTTACCACATACCTGTATATGCAGTTTGTATCATTAGTAAAAACAATCTGTATTATATGATAATGCCTATGCATATATGTTAACAATGCAAAAATGCGAGCTTGAGTTCTCTTTTTGTTGCAACTCGACTATATGACTTTTTTTTTTTTTTTTATAACCTAGGGTATCCAGGCCCCTGCGAGCACCTGACTAGGGATTAAGGGTGTATGTAGACCCTCCTATCCGAACTCACCGGGACAAACAGAGGGAGGTACCCCAAGGGGAATCGAACCCAAGACCTCCCACTTGGAAGGTGAGGTCCCGAGCCACTTAAGCTACCCCTTGGGGGTTATATAACCTCTATTTTTTAAGACAAGAAAAAGTATTGTCGAGTGTAAACCAGTGAGAAAGTCCCAAAGATCGCTTCTTGGTCTGCAGTTTATAGTTTCTACTCTAGGATTAAAAATAGCAACCAGACTTTCAAGTGAAAAAATAAGATGGATAATCAAATATAAATGGTTGAGGTAGAGCAGCAGCTCTGATCAAAATTTTTCAATCTACAAACCAGCACAATTAACTGAGAACTGTAAATGACTAACCATCCATTTAAGCATTGTGTTGTTACAACAGCCTCACGCCCAACAAAGCGCGGCGGCGTCCTCTTGTTCCCCTGGAACCATTTTAACTCCAATGATCAGTTATAACAAGCTATTGAACAAGAATTATAGACCAAGCCTGGAGCTAGCCCAACCTTTATGATGACTCGGTCTGTCACAGCAAACGGAAACTGAACACCTCTGCTTCTTGGTAACTCCATCAGATTTGAGTCGCCACAAACACCCTTGTCCTACAAGAGAGTAAAGGAAAAATTTTTAAAAGGAACGTTAACAAAGGCACTAGACCAGTTGAAGGCACAAGAATGAACATATCCTGACTCCTTGTATGCTGCTAATTCTGATCTGAAACTTTTTTCTTTTTGAAGTTTAGCATGCCTCTGTTATTATCTTCCCATTTTTGGGAATAGCTAATTTCAAACACCAAAATGACATACCTGATCAAATCTTTCCCTCCTCCTCTTGGAAGAGCGATGAAATTGCAACTCTTCTTCCCGTCGAAATGCCTGCACAGCAGCTCTAAGAGCTGCAAATTTTAAAAAACTTAATGAGAATGAGTTCAATGACCACATAACGATTTAATTTGGCTTTGACCTTAATTCTTGCATTTGCATGTTAATTGTCAATATTCTTAAGAGTGATCACAAAATCTTTCATTTAAATTGATCTTTGCCAGCTGCTGAAAGGATTTTATTTTTATTTATTTATCTATTTATTTTTTGCTGCTAGGACTTTTGAAAGAGATGTTTAAAACTCTGCCTTGAACTTTGGCGACCCTACTCCAACACTTGGCTTATCCATTTTCTTTTAAGCGCTCAAAATTCTATGTTATGGCATCCACATCCAAGGGGAAATTTTACAAACCAAGTCCCCTCAACAAAAAGACCTGTTGTCTGAAAACATCAGTATCATTCCATAGGCCACAATCTCAGAGACATTCACAGGCATCCTTGTGCAATTACGCCAAAGGATTCATAAACCATATATTGAACAATTAAGAGTGCATTACAATCATCTCAATTAAAAAGGATAACTACTTACAGAGATTTGGAGCGATTGAGTCTTCTGAAATTGACTGAGAACAAGTGTAGCAAGCTTTCTGAAAGGGAATTGTGAGAAAAAAAAAAAAAAAAAAAATGAAACTTCAGGTTAATAACCACAACCAGAAAAACTCAATAAAAAAAATAAAAACATCTCATCAAACCAAAATTAGCAACATACAGATATCAAATAACACTCAAACAGCAAGCAACTCAAACAAAATCTATCAAGTCCCAGACAAACAAAATCTATCAAGTCCCAGATAAACAAAATGGTTTCCCAGGAGCTCACCATTCTAATAACATGCCGTATTCCCCCACCTCCAAAAGAATGCCCACAAGGTAATATCATTGCGTCATCCATAAGAGCTCCTCTAAATTTCCATAATGTTACACATAAATCAAACTCACATAAATCAAACTCAGAGTTAAAGAAACGCAAATTTTGCATCTTGTTTGCTAATTTCCCACACAACACTACCACGTTTTATCAAGCAAACTTACGTTACAGGATCCGAAAGAATCATCCTCAATGACTCTCCCGACTCGTTCGAGTACGAAACATCTTTTCTCCCACTGAAACCACATCCATTTTCCCCGGCCAAATCCTTTTGCCCTGCAGCAGAGCCCTCTGGCCCTTGAAAATACTGCGAATAATAGCCGTCACTGTCGGTTTCCGCCACGGTGACCGCATTCTGATAATTCCCGAGCCTCCCTTGCTCATCATGATGATGAGGAGGAGGATGATGATGATGATGGCGATGATGATGATTTTCGCTCCGACTAGCCTTCGCATTGCCACTAACCGTTTGCTGCACAATGCCACTCTCTTTCACTATTACATCTCTACTTGATCCTATCATCATATTCACACCTAATATAAACCCACTTATAAATCAAAATAAATAAATATAAACTCACTTACAATCAAACAAAAAATCTTCAAAGTTTCCTTAAAAAAAAAAATCTTCAAAATTGCTTCTTTTTAGAGAATTTCTTACCAAAAGGGGAATGGTGCTGGCTCTGATTCTGATTCTGGTGCTTGGCTTTCCCATTTCCCATTTTGTCCTCGCCATTACCGGCATTATTACCGTTATTGCCCTTGCCGTCGTCATCCCCACCCACCAGTCCTTCATCGACGTCGTCATCATCGTCGTCGACGTCATCTTCATCGTCGTCCTCGTCATCGTCCGATCCGTCGACGCTTGGCGTCGCCGCCGCGCCGTTGCCGTTCCAGTTCCTCGCCTCCGGTGGGTCCCTCCGGTCCTGAGAATCGCCGTAAATACTCCGGCGAAATTCCGCGCCCTGAGGCGCGAAGAATCGCTCGTCGATGAAGCCGCTGAGATCCCTGGTCTTCGGGCCCGAGTCGCCGCCGCCCCCGCCGCCGCCGACTCGGCGCTGAGCCGGTGCGCCGCAGTTGAACCGCAAGGTATCGTCTTGGAAGACCAGGTGCGAGTTCAGCCCGTTCTGCGAGGGGACCAGACCCATGTCCTCCGACGACATTTTGGGATCAAAATTGAAAATTGAAAAAGGATAGGACCTAATTGAGGAAATCGTGCATGATTTAGGGGCTTGCTGAATTGGGAAAATGGAGCTTTGAAGTTTGTAATGGGTTTGTGGGAGTGGAATTAGGGTTTAGAACTCCCATTCTTTTTGTGGGAAAAGAAAGAGAAGATAGTGCAGGGAGGTACTAAATTTAGATTCTCAATTTTCCGAGGGGTTTTCGTGAAATTGTTTGACTTAGATAGACCAAATAGACAACGCTTTATTATTATTATTATTATTATTATTATTATTATTAGAAAATGCTTTAATTAATCTTTCAACAAAAATACTAATTATTCACTCAAAATGATTCCAAGAAAATACTAATTATTTACTCAAAATGATTCTAATTATAATTTTCTCAAACAATACTGATTATAATTAATAGAATACTAAAGAAATTTTCTCCAAAAAAACGGCTCTAAGTAATTTTTTAGATGTTTTTATTGTTATTCATTTCAAAAAAAAAAAAAGGAAAGAACTTTAGAGTGAGGAAATAACTATTTAAAAAAAAAGAGTGATGAAATTACTAACTATAATTAATTAAAATACTAAAATTTTGTTCATTTCACCGATTTAAGTTTTCAGTTTCAGTTTCACTACAGTAAAAAGTTTTCATAAAAATTCACATCTAACTCTTTTACTACAGTTAAAAAATCTCACATAAAGTCACATCTTAACTCAAATTGAAAACTCGAATCGACGATTTGATGTTCTTATTTATTTAAAAAAAAAACATAAAAAGAAATGTTTATTTTATTAAAGAAAAAGAAATTTTTAGACTTCTTAAAACGGTGTCGTATAGCTGCAGTAAAATTGGAAAACGAAAAGGAGAATGGGCCATTAAGAATATCACAAAGAGTTGAGGGGTGAAAATATAATTTAGAAATATTTCCGAGGCCCAAGCGGAACTTACGAAGAAGAAGAAGATGAAGAGGAAGAAAAAGACGGAGACGTAGAGACAGATTCTACATTCCAATCCCATTGACTTTGACGCTGCATTGGAATGAAATGGCATTGTCTTGGGCATCGGATTAGCCGTTGATTCAACGCTTTCTTTTTGTTCGGTTTCGTTTCATTTCCTTCATAACCATAGTATGATCCCAATACCAAGTAGACAACTTTATTAATAGAGAAGGAAAAAAAAAACGAGAACAATGGATCGGAATCAAATTGGGTTTTCGTTGATTCTGATGTTTTTGATGGTTGCCCGTGATTGCGATGCGTCTTTGCTCGCCAAGTTTCGGAAGCTTGCGGTAGTTCCTGGCCCAAATAAGAACAAGCTTTCTCAGCAGGTGATTTTTTTTTTTTTGAAGAAAAGTTTTGGCCTTTTGAGATTTGAATTGCTTTTTTTGGTATAATTGGATGTTGGTGTTTTCTCTTTTGTGATTTAGATTTCTCCTTCTCCTGCTCCGGGCCCAGCTGCTTCTGCGCCGGACCCACCTACTGATGGCCTGAGCTTTGGGAGGTGCAAGAGCTCATTAAAGACTTGCCATTATAAATCTCAGATTAATATCTCTGCCTGCTTAATTTCCTCATCAAATGGTATTGAGTCTAATGATATGGTGTTTTTAGTTCCATGTAATATGTAGTGTATGTTTGGTTTTATGCATAATTTGGTTCTTTTTTTTTTTTTTCTTTGGTATGTTTCTACAGGAACTTTTTGAATTGTGATTGAAAGAACTAGTCTAGGATTAATGGAAACACCTTCTCACTCTTGATGGTCAAAATACCTGTTCTCTTTTTTTTTTGTTCCATTTTTCTTTTTTCTTCCTTTCAACGTTCAATGTCCAAGAGTTGATTTTTCACTTTAAGGGATTGTTCTTCGTTGTGTTTTAGACTTCTTTGTTAAGATTTTTGTTGTTTTGCTCCTTTTTTTAATCTATTAAGACATATGATTACCACATCTTATGTCATTTAAAGACTAATGAGTTACGTGACTCAGCATCGAGCAATTACTTGCGGGAGTGATAAGCACTGTGATCACTGATTTAGTTAGTAACTGCACCAAATATATATATATATATATATTACCCGTAATGACTAAGAAACAAAGTGAACTTGTCCTTGTCATGCTCCCTCTAGTAATTTGAGAAAATGGTTCCTGATTCATCGTTGATTTGATAGCAGAAATATTTGGTGGAGGTTCAGGAAACATTGAGGTTGAAAATGCAGTTTGTTTCCAATTTTAGAATCTTCTTAGTAATTTCATATATTTTGTGGAATCTGTGGTTCATAATCTCTAGTACCCAACTTCATTGTCTATAATTGCTATCATTGGCTTAGGTTGGTTATGGTCTTTTCTCTTTCAACCGATGCTTACTTTTGTACTGCAAACTTCACGGACTTGTGCTATAATTTGATTCCATAATGTCAAATTATTCAGCCTTCTTTTTGGGTGTTTCAGAAATCATGCGCTAACTTCTCTCTCGGAGATTGTTGGTTGGGACAATGAGTGTTAATTTTCTTCTCGAGATAACAGAAGTTCACAGCTTATTTTCGGTTGACAATTAAACAGAAAATAATTGCAATATTTTGCGTGAACTGTGAATTATCTTTTCTTCCGTGGCTTAGCAGACAGTTAATTATGAATTAGAAATATGTACTGTAGTTATAGTTCTATATGAACCAAGTTCATCCCAAATTGATAGAGAAATGTGTTATTTTGGCATTTTAAATCTTATCTTGTTGTGTAACTCGTTGTTTCTAAACGGTAAGTATTTTCAAGCCCTGAAATGAGTTCTATCATCTGATCTTGTTTCCTCTTTTATCGCTTTCTGGGCATGTCAAACCATTTCTCAACATTTCTTTTCTCTTTGTTTGCAGCCAACGAGGAGTTGTTTCTTCTTGTCCAAAATGATGGAGAGAGTTATCTTGAAGTGAATGTTACGACAAACAATAACACATCGCAGAAGATAGAAATGTCTAAACATCAAATCAAAAAGGTTTTGTTCCACGGTTAATACTTTTTATATGAGATCCTTTTTTTTTTTAATGAAGACTTATATGATCTTTTGCAAAGAAGTAAACAATGGTTAAAGATACTTCAAGTGGCATAATGTGTGGAAGGATGATAGGAACCCAATATTTACTTTAATTGAGATCACATTCTACTCAGAAGGACTTGGTCGAGGTCTAACTTCAGCTTTTGATCGGTGAAATTCCTATGCGTGTTTCAGGTCAATGTCTCAGATGGAAGAAGTTCATCAGTAGTACTAAATGCTGGAAATGGGGAGTGTATAATTCACTTGGAATCACCTAAACCTGACATCAGCTTCTTTAAGGGTTTCCCTTACTATGCTGACTATGCGACGCCGCAAAATGGGGCCTACATGTTGATTTTGAGTGTTCTGATCTTTGGAGGGATGTGTGCTTGTTGTATGGCAGGGAAAAAGGGACGGAATGTTGATGGAGTCCCATATCAAGAACTTGAGATGGGGCGTCCCGAATCACCCTCAGTTGACCATGTGGAAACAGCAGAGCGTTGGGATCAAGGCTGGGATGATGATTGGGATGAAATGAAGGCAGTTAGGTCTCCAAAGTCTCGTCGAAACAGGAATGCATCGACGAATGGCATTGCTTCGAGGTCTTCTGATAGAAATGGATGGGAAAGCGGTTGGGATGATTAAGATGAAACCTCTCATGTTGCCTCCCAAATAAGAGGGGTTCTCTGGTAAACCAAATAACAAGAAAATTTATAGGTAAATTAGGAAAAAGTTTTCAGAATGGAAATGAAAGAGGAGTTTTCGTTATTTCATACGCGTGCTTGTCAATTCATGTTAGAATCATAGTATCAGAAAACAATTTTGGTCTGTAGAACTAGTATACTTTTCCTTTCTTTTTCTTCCATTTGAAATTTACAGGCTAATTTTTAGTTTGCGTTTTTTTTCCTACAAAATATAGTTTTTTTTTTCCTACAAAATATAGTTTTTTTTTTCCCTTCAAGGACAAACTTTTGGAAATCTTCAAATTAGAATTTAGAGTGGTTAGAGATTTATTGTAGTCATCCTGGAGTTGAAATGAGTTTCTAGCAGAAGTGAACATGACACTTCAACCATTTCAGTTGGTGTCTTTTATTATTATCAAAGAGGAGATTTTATTTATTTTTTTGCTATTAGAAGCTACGGAATATGCTATACTATAAGCGAAAATGTGCATCTTATTTGTTGTATTTTTATTTTGCAACTTATTATTTGTCATTATATAATTTGTTTTTTATTGCTCCGAACAAATAATAATAACTCGGATCAAAATTAAGGTTTACAAATGTTCTACAACAGTTAAAGTTGCTTATAGAAAGAAAAGCTTGAGAAATCAATTAAACCTTTTAAAGCATCTTTTGAGGTTTAGCCGCAGGTTCCACTGCGAGATATACTGGTTTTCCACGTTGGAAAGCCCAACTTTTTTGCGTTATCCTTGGAATAAAGATGCCAAAAAGCTTTAAAATGCCAACTAAATTTGTTTGATCATAATCATTGCCAAATCAAGTGGGGGCAATTTGTTAAAAGGGGTGCACTGTGCATTGCCATGGCCTTCCCCCACCCACCAATCCGACACCATAAGATTCAACTGCTCTATTGCGTGTCATCAAAGTTCTAGTGTGTATCATTTTGTCCCTATAAAAAATAAATATTAATAATACTGATAATAACTCAATACCAAAAGGAAAAGAGGGCAGATCAAAATTCTTTATGTTTTATTGTTATTGTTAATATTTTTTTGCCAAGAATTCTTTGTGTTTGGTGCTACTTACAGTTTTTTCTACTCTTTCTTTTGCTTATTTTATAAAATAATAATGTATTCAGCTTATCTTAATCTGTCTTTATATATCATTTCTGCAGTTCTCAGAAATATGGCTTATCTGATCTTTTCACCATATATACATTCTCATTTTTTAAGGCCTTTTTGTAGTTTCTGAAGCTAAATTGATGCTTAACCAAGAAAGAGGTAAATACGAGACAAATAGACCAGACAATGGTATGACATGGATGTTCTATTCTAACACAGCTATAATCAATCACAAAAGTAGGTATTTTTCCCTTCTGTCAATCAAGTGACCAAACGGGTTCAGATATTCTACTTTGCCCAAAAGAAACTTTATTTTATGAAAGATCCATGTGCTAGTTGATGATAACAATGTTAACAACCTACTATTAGACTTGCTTTTTAAAAAAAAAAAAAAAAAATGATAGGATACTATTAGGCATTCTTGGGCCGCAAACAAAAGTGTTTTAACCAGTGCCTGGCTACATTGAGGACAACCTAACTGCTCTCAATCTATGCACATGGCCATGGCCATGGAAATCATCTTCAACTGTTAAATTGGTTCATCCTCCTAAGACGCGTCTAGGTTCCATATTCCACAACCTCAATTTAAGACCTCTATTCAGCTAATATATTGTGCCGGATTGAGTGTGTGATGACATAATTGAAAACTGAGCCCATTGAGCGTGATAACACTAGTAATCCCTTCTAATTATGAAAGAATAACAATATTGGTGCATGCCTATTTGTCACAATCCAATAAAGGTATTGGAATTCAAAAGATAATGATTAACAACACATTAGTACGAGTGAAAAGGTGTGAAAGTATGGTCAGGCCTCTTCATTTCTTTGGAGTTAGAAACATTTGTTAAGCAATTTTTTGACAAGAACCCTATGCAGTCACTGCAATCAAAGAAAGGGGGCATTAAAAAACTCGAGAATTGGAACATAGAGACGGTGGCAAAATATTAAACAAAGGGTGCTTCTATTCCGACAGAATCAGTGTGCAATATTCTATTTCCATGCCTTCAAGAATCAAAATATCATTATTTTTTAAATAAAAAAAAAATACAGCCTCAAATAAGGCTCATATTATTAAAGAACAAAAAAGAGTAACAAAGCTACAACAATCTCAAAATCAAGTAAATCTGTAAAATAGTAAATCTATGTAATCTCTAAAAAAATTAGGATAATAAGACAACAACATCCTATTACAATTAATGATTCCAAGATTAGTAAGCTTATCGACACATTCATTAGTTTCACGATACACATGGAAAAAATGAAAATCCATTTTCATGGACAAAGAAAGAACCATGCTCCACTCATTATGCAACCTCCACAAAAAAAAAAAAAAAAAAAAAAAAAAAAAAAAAAAAAAAACCTACAAAGACTTAAAACTCAAAAGACAAATGATCGGAGGAATCACTTTTGGTATTCAACTTATCACTTTTCATTATTTTACTCAAAGTTTCATAGACTATTTGCTTCAAAGTGGGGGCAAAGATTCTCAGGGTCTGCACTGGCTCTCGAGCCACTTTTGACTTGCAAATCCTTATTTTATTGCCTTCACCATTTGCTGGAACACCACCCCCACCCCCCATCTTCTTTATCTCGCAGAATTTTTGGCAGATAATTGTAACATAATATTTGCCATTTTACAACCATAAAGCTAATCTTCCTCGTGTAAATCACACCCTTGTCCGCAAGATATGATCGAAACAAGATAGTACTTTATGCCCAAATCAACCGATTTTTTTTTTTTTTTAATGCAACCAAATAAACCAAAATTGTTACATATGCCCGAAACTTTCTGTGGTTATGAGGGATTGCACTCTGTTTGCAGTAGAATCGGTTTATAGAATAACATAAGCAGGATAGAAATTAGTAGAGTACAAAAGATTAGTAGCAAATTAAATCCAACAGGGACACAAAATGGAACCTGGTGAAGGGGAATCCGGTGGCCTAATCGTAATACAGAGAAGAAAACACAGCATGAACATAAAATAAACAAGAGAACACAAGAATTGAAAAAAGGAAAATTTGTAGGATTTCTCTTCTCTAATCTAATGAACAAAACCGGATTCTTCTTCGCCGGATAACCTGATTGTAAATCCCTTCTCTCAACCGTCGATGCGATTATCTAATTTGATCCCAACTCCTCTTGATCTTCTGAAGGGCATCTGATCAGCTCTAGTATGTTAACAACCTCCCCCATGTCTGGTCGATTTGAGGGCACTTGTGATGTGCAGATCAAGCCTAATTTCATTGCGGGAATTGCCTCTTCAGCAGGGAATTTTCCATGCAGCCTTGCATCAACACATTCCTCAACCCTGCCCTCTTCTAACGCCCCTCTAACCATGTCGCAGAGCACCACGACGTCGTCTTCCATGTACTCAACAGGCATTTTTCCAGTGACCACCTCCAAAACCAAAACCCCAAATCCATAGACATCGCATTTTTCAGTTATCTTCACCGTTTTGCAAGCAAACTCTGGTGCCATGTAGCCGAGTGCACTTTGAATCTTGCTGCTCAAAACATAACGGTCCAGCATTGGCAACAACCTCGCTAGGCCGTAGTCGCCCACTTTGGGTTCACCTGAACTGTCAATTAGGACATTGCTCGATTTTATGTTGTAGTGGATAATGTTATGCTGGTGCAAGTAAGCCAAGCTTTTTGCAGTCCCAAGAATTATATTGAACCTCTCATTCCACGAGAGGAAGTTTCCACCTGATCCTTCATGGAGATGCTTATGCAAGCTACCACCGGTGACGAATTCATATATGAGGAGCTGCAATGATGGCGTCCAATAGTAACCTTCAAGCGCTACGAGATTTTGGTGCCTGACTTTGCCCAATTTCTTAACTTCCCTTTCGAATTCTCCTTGGGACTTGACAAGACTTGAAACAGTGAGCTTCTTGATTGCAACAGGATTGCCATCTCGAAGAACTGTTCTATACACTGCTCCAAACCCCCCACGGCCAAGCTCGCAATCCTTGTTGAGCAGAGCATGTGCACCTGTGCTGAAATCAGGGTCGCCCGAAAACATCACAAGCTTTCCAGAATTGGTGTCTGTAGTGGGAGAATGGCTGAAGTCATCCCCTCCAGAGAAGGTGAGGGCAGCTGCTGATCGAGATGCGAATGTCCGGACATGGAGGTTAAGCACAGTAATAGCAATTACACCTATGACTATGACAGCAGCTGCACCAATAGCAATGAGCGCAGAAATGCTGAGGATGATTCTTTTATGGCCAACATTTGAAGGTAATGAACCTGGAGTGGCATCAGAAGACGAGTTGGGATTGAGAACAATTGGTTTGGGAAGGACTGCAGGACAAGACTTATTGACTGCAGAACCACAAAGAGACGGGTTTCCAGACACAGAGTAGGGAGAGATGGTGTTGAAAAAGCCGCCAGCAGGTAGTTCACCCTGGAGGTTGTTGTGAGAAATGTTGAAGGATATGAGATTGGGAAGATTGGCCAACTGCTTTCGTAAGCCCCCAGTGAGGTTATTAAAAGACAAGTCCACATTTTGCAGGTTGACAAGTTTAGCTATTGCTGCAGGTATTGGGCCACTCAGTTTGTTCAGTGATAGTACCCTGCAAAGTTCAACCAGAACGAAATATCTAAACAAACCCCCCCATAAATAATGAAAATTGAAAGATATTGACCAAGGCCGATATAAAGACTATCAGGCATCAACGGCAGATAAGTCTGCAGTTTAGTGAGATTGAAAAATTAACAAAAGAAAAGGGACAAACATATACAGCCATATCTTTACGCTTCCGCAAACGGAAAACGGCCTGTCAAATTGCAGTTGGTGGAAATTTGATACAAAATAATAGTTGTTCAAGACAACAAAACATAAAGTAGTGGATAGACAACTTACAAAGTTGTTAATGATGAACAATTCTCAATTGAAGTTGGGATTTTGCCTTCAAGCTTGTTTTCCTCTAGTCTAAGTTCCTTCAAAGAAACAGCCCCTCCAATTTCTTCAGGGATGCTTCCATTTAGCTGATTCCGACTCAAATCAAGATTAACCACCAACTTCAAATCTTCAAAAGTCACGGGAATAGGACCCACAAGAGAGTTCCTAGACAAATTCAAGAACTTCAAACTGCTCAAAATCCCAATGTTTGATGAAATTTCACCTGAAAATGAATTGTGGGACAAATCCAGGACTTGAAGATTCTGAAGCCCATTCTCCGCAGATGACTTCATAGGAATATCCATTCTTCCACCTTGTTTTCCCCTTGAAAGTGAAACTTCCTGTAAACCCGAGTTGAAAATCCACAAAGGAAGATCACCTGTCATCAAATTCTGACTGAAATCCAACGTCAGAAGATTTGTGCAAGAAGCTAGAGACTTTGGCAAGCTTCCCGTTAGACCATTGGCATAAAAATTCAACACCTTTAGAGATTGAAGATTTCCTAGGGAGCTTGGAACTTGACCTGAAAACTTATTAGCCGAAAGGTCTAAGGTCTCAAGGTTCTTCATTTCTCCAATCCACTGAGGAACTTCACCAGCGAACGAATTCCCATGCAGATTTAGATAATTGCAAAGTGAAAGTTTCTGCATTGTCTCTGGTAAGCTTCCGGAGAAGGAATTCTCGCCAAGATCAATGAACCTCAAAAGCAAACAACTTCCAATGCCATCAGGAACCGTCCCAGAAAGCCGATTCTTCCCAAGATTAATAGTTCTCAGATTGTTCAACCCTTGAATCGCCTTAGGAATTTCACCCTCCAAGAAATTATCAGACAAATCCAACGATCGAATCCCATTTAAGGACCAAATCCCAGAAGGCAACGAACCGGAAAGACGGTTCGACGACAAGTCAATCGAGGCAATAGTCGAGCATGAGCTCAAACTATCAGGAATTTTCCCGGAAAACTTGTTCTTGGCCAGGGAGAGTACTCTGAGAGACCCACATTGTCTGAAGAAATCTTCTGGTATGTCTCCCGAGAAGCTGTTGTCTCTCAAATCGAGGACTCGGAGGTTGTCGATTCGTGCTATGTTGGAGCTTATGCTTCCATTGAGACTGTTCCTAGCCAAGGAGAGCTTCCTGAGAAACTGCAGCTGAAGAAGCCCTCTGCCCAAACGACCCGAAAGAGAGAAGCCGTCGAGGTTGAGCTCAGTGACTCTCTTGGATCTGGGGTTGCATCTCACGCCCATCCATCCACAGGGGCTGTTGTCGTCTTCGTTCCAAGACGCGAGCATTCCCTTCGGATCTTGAACATCGGCCTTGAACACAATCAGCCCCAGAACGTCGTCGTTCAGGGACGGGTTCAGAGATCTCACGTAAATCGGAGCTAAAACGACAACCAAAGTGAATAGTCCCAGGAGCCTTTTCATGTTCAGAAACACTCGCATTGTTGAAAAGACTCAAAAACACTGCAAAGCCATAAGAAATCGCAGCCAAGCCCCAAACTTTTTCAAGAGCGAAAGAAGAAAAGCTATAAAACTCGAAGAAACAGTGACAAAAACTCCAATTATAGAAGAAAACAGGTAGCGAAAACAAGGTAGTAGTAGAAAAGGGCCAACTTTCTCCAACGGCTAGATTCGGAGTTGCTAAAAAAACAAGACGGACCAAATAGAGTACACAATAAACCAAAAAAAAATCAGCCACCAAAGCAAAATGAGACACCCGAAACTGTCCGAAACGGCAGCTTTTTTTCGGAAGGTGAAATACAATGTGCGAAGTGCAAAACCCTAGAAATCTTCTACCGAAAGGAAAGACTTCGAGCTCGAGATTTTCGAAACTCGAAACCAGCAACAAAAAGAAACTCGGACAGCTCCCAATTCTTCGAATCGGAAAAATGCCAAAGCGGAAAAGTATCGCCGGAGAAGTACTGTTCTTCGCCGGAGCTCCAGCTGACTGTGCAGACTACAGAGCAAATGAGCTTCGCGCCTGGGAAAGGAAACTAGGCTCCGTCCACAAGAATGCTCGTCGGCAAACTCCCCGGAATACGTAGAACCGCCGTACTGCGAAGTGAAATAGCTTTTCTTTCGCTCTCCTCTCACTGTTTCTCTCTCTAACTCACACACTCTCTCTCTCTCTCTCTCTCTCTCCCTCTCCCTCTCTTTGTCTGCGTAGAGTTTGGTTTGAAGAAATTAAATTATAAGCGCTTTATTAACGGCAAGAGGGACCAGGAAGGTAGCTGGGACTCCATTTAATGGAGATTGAACACGTGGCGTGATCTTTATGGAGATGATCGTCCGACGTGGTAAATACGTGGACCCTGTCAGAGATGCTTTTGACGTGGACATCACAAGTGGCGGTATTCAAGCCCGGGCTTTTGGATTGCGAGTGGGGAACAGAATTCGGAATCACCCCTGAGGTTCAACGAAATTACTGCTGTGACATTGGGAGTTAAAAAGGGATAATTAATGTCGTTGAAAAAGGACCACCTTGCGTGGAAGTCGAGAGCTTTGACTGGTTTGTGCTTACCGAGACGACATTGGCAACGGTTTGTAGATCATCAATTAACCTTTCTTTTTCTTTTTAATTATTGTGAAAAATATCATCAATTTGATTGATATTGGAGCTATATAAAGAAGGGAACTTGGTACTCTTTATAATTATACCCTTCAATTTATTTTTTTATTTTTTTTGTAAAAGCTCTAATTTTCCCAATTTGCTAAAAAAAACATCAAATTTTATTCTATGGGTTGGGATTTTTTTTTTTTTAAGGAAAGGGGTCTTTATTATTCAATTGCAGTGTCAGCAAATACAAAAAAAAAATCAATAAAGTCTAGCAAAAACTCAGTCTAAACAACTTTTTTGCTATGAGTTGCGATTTTTGAGAATGAGCAAAACTGTATAATACATTTGTGTCTTTTTTAAGACCACGGTCTATACTATAGATTATAATTTTCGTGTTTATTTCTAGCAGCAGCACATGGGTTGCTTTATAAGCATATGCAAGTTGTTGGTTGATATAAAAATTGTCTCAAAAGCCTTGTTACGAAAATAAAATTATCTTTTAATTTCCCTGTAGTAAAGATGCCCAATTAGTTAGTTAATTAACAGAACTCGTTGCTTGATGTATCAATTTTAGGAGCACCAAACGCCAAAAGCATGTTTTAGCTTGTTGCTTTTTGTATGATATTTCACATGAATTCCATGCAAAGAAACGAATATATGGGATTCTATCAGAAAAAATAAATAAATTAAGATAAATTAAACTTACGTTTAGTTGGAGGATTTAAACCATGTGATTCGAATTATTTTTGATTTACGTAAATTTTTAGTAAGAGAAAAGACCGTAACAAACCATAAATCATAATTCAAATCAAGAAACGAATCCTTCTACTAAACTTCCTCTTATATGTGGATTGAATCCCTCTACTAAACTTCCTCTTATATGTGGATTGAAAAGGGGACGTTCGTGGTAACGGAGAATGGCAAAATGGGTAAATAGAGGAAAGAATGAGGGGCATGTTGAGTGTGAGGGAGAGGTGGTTGGATCCCTGATAAGCCACTGAAAAGAGAGGGAAAAGCAATAAATAAAGGCCAAGGCAAGTAGGTAGCTAAGGTGGGTGGTGTAATAAAAGAGGTTTTTTCTTTTCTTTTTTGTTCCTTGGCAAGAAAAAAAAGTCGTCATGTTGCGTCGTCGCGCATTCACAATTTCTGGTAAGGCTTTTTTTAGGGTGAGATCCTCTTAAAAAAAACCGCGGATATAATATTTTATTTTAACTGTTAAATTATTTTTTGTATTATAAATTTTAATACGGATATATATAAATTTAATTATTAAAAACTTAATTTAATAGAAAAAATAAGACGTTTTACCGGTAGATTTTTTTAAAGAGATCTTACTGTAGATATTCTCTTTCTTGTAAATTAATAACTTGTCCTTTTAATTTTTAATTTTAGTTAATTTAAGAGGTCGATGATAGTTGAATAGTTGTTAAAATCTTAAAGGAAACATACTTGTACATGTGAAATGATGTGCTCTATTATTGTCTAATATATCAATATTCATCCTTCAATGAGCTTACTTAACATGTATGAGTGCTCTATCAATATTCATACTTAATAGTCGTCATTGATTTGGGGCATTCTGCTATACTTTATTAAATTTAGGGGATAATTTTCAACATTCAGAACTAAACATTCTTATGGTATATTGTCAATTTGGAAAAAATTCAAGGATTAAGTAGACGTTTGATTCATAAATTTAAAATTATGATTCAGAATCATTTTTGATTTACGTGTATTTTTTATGAGAAAAATATTGTAACGAGTCACAAATTATGATTCAAACTATAACACGAATCATCATACCAAACATATTGTAAAGTGTTAAAAATTATTTTTTTTTTAAAAGGGGCAAAAGGTGAAGAGAGAAACGAAGAGATAAAGAGATAGAAGTGAAGGGATGTATGGTGTGGTGGCAGAATGCAGGGGTTATGATAGGGACTGAACTTTACCTTTTAAAGCTTTCTTAAATTCCATCCAATATGAAAGCTACCCCACCTAATTCCCCTTCTTCTATTAAACTTAGCCCTCTTTTAATTTTTACCCCCATTTGGCAGGCACTGCTTCCTCCTAGAATCCTTTCAATTTTGGGACCCTCCTCTTTTTTTTTCTTTTTTTTTTTTTTTTTCTCTCATGTACATATTTTCTTCATAATGATCATGTCAATTTACTATTAATGTTGAAATTCAACCAAATCATAGTCATGAATTAGTAATCAACGTTAATTGTGATGTATCTAGCGTAATTAAAAAGTGATTGGCAGGGAAAAATTTGATCTTTATCACTTATTGGTATTTGTTGTCAAGAACCATTAATATTTGCATTTGATGTCAAGAATCAATTAATGTCATTTAATTATCTCGTCAATTCATAGTCAATTTTTGATTTAATGAAGAGAATGTGGTGAAAACATACTTTTCTTATTTGGGTGGAAATAACGTTGCTGGAGTTTAAAGTACATGTTTTTGAATTATGCATCAATTTGATTGGTTATGTGGACAGGGCATACCAAATAGAGGATAAAACTAAGGGTTAATCCCAATAAATAGTCTCTAAATGTTGCGAACAAATATCATTTTAATCTCTGACTTTTATAACGTTCTAAACTTAATTTTTGTTTTATCAATTTATATTAATTTTATTTCTCTTTATCAGTTGGGTGTTAAAAACATAACAAAAAATGAATAAATTCAATTAACAAAGTGTTATTTACACTTTTTCGTCGTAATTACGTGCATATTTTGTGTTATACCAATTAAATATTATTTTCTTTCGGCGTCGCATAATATCATATCTTATTTTTTTTTTAAAGATGAAAAAACTAAAACTAAAAACAAACTAATAGATTGAGAATTAAGTGTGAGACGTTTTAAAAGTTAGGTATTAAAGTGAGATTCAGTGCAAAGTTTATAGATCATTCTTAAAATTAACCCTAAAACTAAATTAAGTCTATGACTTGAAAATCTTTGTGGTTGGACTAGTAATTCTTATGAAAAAAATGAGACAAATGCCCCTTAAAGAATTTTTATCATTTACTATTAATTAATACTCTTTAATTAATAATTATATTAGACTCATACACTCTAAAAATAAGTTTAATAATTTTCTAATTTCTATTGACCAATCAAAATTGTTTGAACCATGCCCTTATCGGTACTAAACCCTTTTTTTTTTAGCTGCTGAGATGGTGAAAGCTTAAAGCGGCATTTGGTAGTTGTCTTTATGCATGGAGGTACATATTTGACCTTCTCTTAAGTTTTGGAACTTTACTGTAGAGATACAAGCACAAGAATATATTGAATAATCCACCCCACCACTGAGATTTTACTTTCTAGACTGTAAAGTTTCTTGTTGAGCTGTTTTTTATGCGTATAACAACATATAACATGTGACTAATAGTCTAAACAATTGGGTTTTTTGGTGACCTTTTAGTTGAGGTTTTCCCGTGATCATTTATATGTAATTTAACAAGAGAAATATGTGTTTTGGTAGCAAGTTTTCATAACCCAATCAGAGCAAAAAAAATAAAATAAAATAAAGTTTTCATAACCCCCAAAAAACAAAAGCACTTGTAGTAGTCCCTTTTTTAAAAAAAAAAAATAATAATAAAAATGAAGTATTGGAAGCAAAATGACGTATCATTTCTTAATAACACCTCATTTGGTTGGATAAACGCTACATGAATACTTGAATTTTAGGTCATAATCTCAAGTAAAAAATGGTTTTAAAATCAAGAGTCTCACCGCATCTAGCCATTATGAGATATTGAGATGCCTTTTCAATAGCCTGTTTTCTAAATGCGTCTTAAAATAAAAACTCAGAAGGCAGTTTTTTTTTTCTTCTTTTGTTAAAAAAATACAGCTTCATATTTGTATCAAAATATAACCTGAGTTTTTCTGATAGGTTAGACCAATCAGTGTGTCAGTTTTTAACCATCAGATCAAGTCAAAATCTATATTAGATTCAAAAAGTATTTAAAACAAATAATTTTATTACATATTTAACAGCTGAAAATATAAAACTACTGATGTTTTTTTTTTTATCCTACCTCTCCCAAATATAATTTTCAATCATAAGACTGGTGGTTCCAAAATAGAAAATAAATTTGGACCATATTTTACAAGTTTGAGTTATTATAGAAGAACGTAAAAAGATCATATTAGCTTGTAAAATGATTTCTACGCATTATATTAAGAGAGTTTTTGAAGTAGTTAGATGTAGAATAAAAACTGCAACTTGAACATAAATTGTTTCTGTGGAGAAATCAGAAAAGGTAAGAACTTTTAGTTACCGATTTAAAGTGTGTTTGGTTAGAAAGAAAGATAGATGGATGGAGAGAAATAGAGAGAGAAGTAATCACTTAAATCAAACATCTCATTATTTAGTTGGAAGGATAAGAAGGAGAAATAGAGAGACAGAGGGATGAGCACTCTTCTTAGACCCACAAAATTACATCCTTCCACTCATAGGAGGATTCATGAAATTCATCCCAATTATGTTTAAAAAGACTTTTATATCCTCTAAAAAAACTATTGAAAAATAATAAAAATAATAATATAGTAATTAAATAATTATACATCCATCCATCAATTCAATTATCTCTCTTTTATTAAACAACATAAAAAAATTATTATAATTCTTTCTATCTTTTATATTCATTTTTTATAAATGGAGTACGTTTGGTTGAAGGATTCAAACCATATAATTTGAACTATTTTCAATTTACATAAATTTTTTATGAGAGAAAATATTATAACGAACCATAAATTATGATTCGAATCAGAGAACAAATCATCTACCAAACATCCTCTTAAACAAACAAACAAAAAAGAAAGAGAAGAGGTACTGACCGCACCGGTTTTTTTTCTTTTTTGTTCTTTCAAGAAAGTTACAAATTTTTGAAAAATTAAATTAAAAGAAAAAGGCTAGGGAACTGTGCTAGTGCGCAATTCTTTTCTGACTCAGCCTCTGACTTTCAAACTTTGGTTTTTCATTTTTTTTATTTTAATATTTTTACAAGAAGAAAAAAAAAGAAATTTTCTTTTAAATTCTCTCTTCCCAATAGAAAAAAAATAAAAAACTAAAAAATCCAGACAGTATAAGGACAGGGCGTCGTCCATGCGTGGCTTGTCATTTACCTGGTTGTTGTTATGCTGGAATTATTATTGTGACAGTGTTGACGGTCGAAGCAGAGTAATAACTAATAACCAATGCATTCCATTGTACAGATAGACAGGAATTTCCAAGCAATATACCCGCAACATAGAAACAGATTGCACAATAAAATTATAAAACGTTTGTTTCTTATATTTATCCCTGATTCTGAATTATAATTCATAATTTGTTACAGTATTTTCTCTCATAAAAAATACACATAAAACGAGAATGGTTCTGAATCATGATTCTAAATACATAAACTAAACTTCCTCTTAATCAGGCAAATTACTTGGAATTCGGGACTAGCCTTGTTCCTATCTAATTTTAAGCTATCTTCTTTTGCGCTCCCACCAAAAATAAAAAATAAAATCAAAAATCAAAATTGAAATAAGGGAAGAAGGTTCGTAACAAAAATAGGTTTGTTTGGTTAGAGGATTCAAATTATGTGATTCGAACAAGTTTTAATTTACGTGTATTTTTTGTGAGAGAAAATACTGTAGTAAATCACGAATCATGATTCGAATCAGGGAACGAATCCCTCTACCAAACGCCCCCTGACCCATTAGGGTTTGCTACGTGGGTGTTGATATGTTGAAACTTTTCTTTGGAGAAAATTAAGGTCTCAAGTCACAACTTAATAAGTATTTTAGATCAATGTAACAACTTTTTTTTTTTTTAAGTTTGGATTTATGTCACATTTTATTAATATTAAAATAGTTTATTCACGTGGACAAATCTAAAACTATATTTGTAGCATGAATCTGAAGATGATATTTTTTTTTTGGTCCCATTCATCAAAATTTGTTATTTCTTTATAAAGTGTTTTCACTATTTTAATTTGTGAATATATTGTTCCTTACACATATTCATCTAAATTTTTTTATTGTGTTGTTAAACTCTTTTTTAAAACTTTTTCTGGCAGGTCTCTCTACTGATAGAGTTAATTTTTGATTGTTAAAACTAGTTAAAATCACATTAAATTAAAAAATTATGCATAACATACAATTTTTAATACAAATTTAATGATTGAAAAGTAAAAAACTATCAGTAATTTATTTTTTTTAGTCTTACTATAAAAATTCTCCTTTTTTTTTCATCTTACCTTTCAGTATTCATGTTGAAACTTCTACCGGCACAATAGAACTTCTCTTTTTAGACTATCCAAGGTCCAAAGTATTTGTTGATCTATTTTAACCACAGTAATGTTTTGACTCTTGATCATGAGATGGGTTGAATATTTACTGCAATTATAGATTTACTCTGACATATCCTTGCTCATGGTTCAACTTGTGATTAAGCTTCAACTATAAACCATAACGGTATAATGTCCTTGGGCTTGATTCATTAGACTCCATTGTTTGATGTAAAAGAAAACCAGGTGAGAAAATGTCAAGTAAATGGATAGCGAAGGTTCTAAGGACGGCGTTGATAAAAGAAAGGAACATGTAGTAGAATTTATCTATAGCTATAAGATCCACAAGATTATAGATTCTTGTACTTTTACTTCAACTATTTGCTTGCTTCCTTTCACTTCAACAACTTATTTGTTTACTTGGTTTTTTCCTTTTGTAATTTTCCCCCCATCACAAGAAAACTGTTTTAGGACACCCTGTGGGTTCTATTTGTAGAACCCATACTGTGAGACCCGTCTCTATTAGTACATAATGTTAGGATCCACTTTGTATCGGTTACGGTACTAGCGTCCTAAGAACATCTCTAATAAAATGTTATAATTGATATGTCAATTACAAAATTAGTATTTGAGTATAAAAAAATAAACAAAAACAAAAAAAAAATCTCCAATGCAGTACTATTTGTTGTGCCAAATTTTTCATATGTTATATTTTGTGGTAAATTTTTCACTAAATATAGCATATGAGAAATTTGACATTTAATTGCTATTAATTGAAATATATACATTTTCATATAATTATAGCAACTTTTACATTTTCTAATTACTTTAAAAAATAAAAATTTAATTTTATAATTTTTAAAACTTAATAATTATAAAAAAAAATAGATTTACAATTTTAAATAGCATTATATATTAAAATAAAAATAAAAATAACTTAGGATATCATAAATATAAAATTGGCATTAGTACGAGATGGTCTAAATGTAAACATGGCAAAAGTAGATAATGGTTCATAGACACCGGCCCAAATATTTCATTAAGGCCTGATGAGGCCGGACCCGTCCAATGAGAATAGTTGACGGGCTTACCGAAGAAAGCCCAAAACAAACCCAGAAAGTGCAAAATGCCCTATTGAGTTCTCGGAAGTCACTACTGGTCAGCAGCGAGCTTTGTGTGCGCGTCTCGGCGAGAAGAGCGAAAGAGAGAATCTCAACTCAAGCAAGGAGAACAAAAATTTGGAGATAGAAATGGCTTCAACAGAAGACATCATTTGCGCCAGACAAAAATTGTTAATTAAAGCTATCTCCAAATTCGCTTCCTTGGATTCTGTAAGCTGTTATTTCTCTTTACTTCTGGTTTTGTGACCTTTCTTTAAACTAGGTTTTTTTCAGTTTTTGTTTAATTTTTCCTTGTAAGAGATTCCTTTCCGATTTCTTTATAATTTCGGGTTTTTGGGTCATTACTTTCGATTTCATGAGGTGGGTCTCTTTTACTTTGCTTGTAAAATCAGATTTTCAAAATGTAGTTTGATGGCACTGTGTTTAAATGAAATGGGCAAAACATGTTATGAGAGATCGTTCTCAATTCAATTGAGTGTAGCATTTTCTAGTTACTTTTTTTTTTTATATATTGTTGGGTTTTATTTTGTTTTTTCAGTGTAGATTTCTCACCATGCAAAAATTTAGTGTTTAATGTTGACACACATATTCTCTGTGAAATGAACGTGATACACCGAGAAATGTACCAATTCAACTTTACATTTCATGATGCTTTCATTGGTGGTTGGTTCGCGATTTTGTTGATCAGTTTCAATATGTTTCTGCAGAATAATGTCTCTGCTGAGGCTGCGGAGAATGAGGTCAAGAGCTTGTACAACTTTGACGATAAGGTAGTACGGAAATAATTTGAGTCGTTTTTTTCTTTTTTTTTAGATCAAGCCCTTTAATTACTAGCAATTTTTTTTTTTCTTTTTTTGTTGACAAAGTGCACTGCCTTGGTGGATGCTACTGAACTAAGGAATGTTAGATTTAAGGGTGTATTTCATATAGAATTAACTAGAGTAGCCAAGCTGTGAGGAGCGTATCAGTAATAAACTAAACAAAATTAGTTGTGGGAAGTTTGATGTCTTCTGATCAGTTGTATCAGTGAGTGAATTTAGGTTTTTGACCTTTTCGTTAATATTCAGTTTTTCTGGTTTAGGCGAAGAAGTGGGTAGCATTTGTAGAGAGATTTCCAACAGATCCTGCCTCTTGCTTTGAAGCTCTTAAAGAATTAAATATGGAGCTGACTACAATATCTGTGCTAAAGGGAGATGGGGTTAAACCATCTGACGCTGATGTTGTCGTGTTTGCGGCGGTACATTCTTCTGTGGTAAGCTGCAAGTGAAACTTCTTTTTCTTTGTCAAGACTATGGATTATAATTACGGTAACATTTTGACCTTACTTTTGTTTTCTTTTTACAAAAGTAGTCTTGTTTATATATGTTGAAGGAAATCGAAACTTTGATTATTAACAACTCCATTCACGGAGCTTACTCTAATAGGAAAAAAATCCTCTTGGATGATACAGTAGTTTTGAAGTGTCAGGAGTTTGCCATTTTGCCGTTGTTTTCACTAAGATATTTTATGAAGATGCCCTTAGAACACATCTTGAAAAATTTGACTTTGAGTGTTACTTTTTGACAGATTGGCCTTCCAAACTCAGAAAGGGAAAAATTACCACACGTAATGAGATGGGTGGATTACATCCAGGTAGGTCCACATCATCATGGCGTTCCGTGAAAGAAACTTTCTCTGTAGTTATCTACATACCCTTTTACATATAATTAGGTCTTTTGTATCTGCCCAGTTTCTCTTGTTTGATATATGTGCTTCTAAGAAACCATAGTTTTTCATGTTACAACCTTCATTTCTAGTGATCTAATTAAGTAATTTTTGGTTATGACCTACATTTTATTTTACGTTTTCTCTTCACAGAACAAGGTGGATTTGGGGGATATTTTTGAGAAGATATTGGTTGAGAAGGCTAAATTTGAGCCTCAAGTGTGTAAGCTTTGCATTATTGTTTTGTATTTTAATTCAGAGTCTTTACATATTTGATGTTGCAAATACTAGTGAGAATATTGTAGCATGTGCGCATATTTAGCCCATGTGAAGTTAGAGTCGTAATGATAAAAATGGAAGAGGCGTGAGGTTTTTAAAAGTTCTGGTAAAAGTCAAATTCTGTTAAAACAATGATGCAATAAAATGATTATTCAATACAAAGATGACCTTTCTTGAGAATAATGTGGCACAGTACACCAGAATATCCATGCCTAGATTTATATCCCATAAAAAAGTTAATGATTTAGTACTTGTCTGCTATATGTACTCACTGATGGATTTTCCATATTTTTCTCTTGATTTTAGTTGCTGGGAGCTAAAGCTGCCGATAAGGTGGAAGTAGAATCAGATGCCAAGAAAACTGTGCAAAGTACAAAACCTGCAGATAAGCCAGAAGCAGAGGTGAAGACAAAGAAAAGTGACACTGTGGTAAATATGTCGAAGAATTTGATATTTGTTGTTAAACCTTGGTTTGGTACCAAAGAAAGTATGTTGTCTCATCTTGTGTTATAAATTATAATGTAAAAAATTGCTTTGGAAAAGTTATAAAATAGCTTATAGCTATGTGCGAGTATCTAATATACCAAGTAAAGGGGTAACTGGATTCACTTTTTGTGTGAGATTTGAAGGTCTGTGACTTGTTGGAATATGAAAATTGGAAATATCTAACGAATATGCATATGTGCATTCTCTAATATATAGCCGACAAAGACTAAAATGTTGAGCGGTGAAGTTGGAAAAATGGTTACTAACATCAGAACGAAAAAACTGGAAAAGTTGACACTACTGCTTTTGTTTCGTTGTGAAATTTATGCATAAAAGTAGTATACTCATTTGATAAATTTAATTTCTTAGATTTTCTTTATAATTTGAAAAGTTCTATGATTTTCTCTGGTTGGTTTAGGAATTAGGAAGCCCATTTGACTTTTGACGGTTTGCATATGTATTTTCTGTTAAGTTCCCATGCAGCTATTCCTATAAAATGACAACTACTTTTTTCTTTTGGTATGATTTAACTTCACAGAAAAAGCCTGCCACAAATAAGGAAGCTACTCAAGAAAAGAAAAAAGCAACCGAAGCAGAAAATGTCGAGAAAGACAAAGAAGCTAGTGTCAGTTTGTTGAATATACAGGTTGGATTAATTTGCAAAGCATGGAAGCATCCATCTGCTGAAAGGTATTCTGAAAAAACTCGCATCTTTCTTTTACCTCAAGCACCTATACTTATTGACAGCTTAAACTAATGACAAGAAGATCATAAATGGTTGCTTGACTTGAATTCCTGAACCGTCTGGATCTTATAATATTACTGAAGGAGGCAAATTCAGTATGTTTTTTTAATTTTACTTGTTTGAAGAGATAAGACTTAAGCTAGACTTTTTGTTTTACAATATTTTAGCTTACTTGTGGAGGAGATAGACGTTGGAGAGGCTAAATTGCGGCAAGTGGTTAGTGGTTTAGCAAAGTATTCCAGTCCAGAGCAGTTAACAGTATGGCATCTTCATGACTTCTTGCTACATTTGAAGTATTTAGTTGCACAAAGTCTTTCTTTTACCTGAATTCTTACTTTGTGATTGTTTGTTCTGGTTCTTTGTAGAACCGTCATGTTGTGCTTATTACAAACGTAAAACCTGGGAAGCTACGTGATGTGTTGTCAGAAGGACTGGTACTTGTTCCTTGGCTTATTGAATTAGTCATATTATTATTATATTGTATACTCGATAGTTTTACATTTACCTGCTTAGATTGATGTAAAATTTGCAAGAGGATTTATCAAATCTTTTGGCAAGTAATATGAAATTAACGAGGTTGGTTTGAATGCGTGCATTCAGGTGTTATGTGCCTCTAATGAAGATCATACCGTTGTTGAGCCTTTGCTACCTCCGGCAGGGGCCAAACCAGGGGAGCGTGTTTCGTTTTCTGGGTAAGTTTGTAAAAACTTCCTCAAGCTTTATATATAAAGCTATTCCTAGACACGATCAATTATGCGAGTATAAAATCAATTAACCATTAAAAAGTAAAACCATGCGTCTACATATTCATCAGTAGATTTTATTAATTATGTTTCCTCTTAATTGTTTTGAATTTCGTTTTGACAAAGAATTATATGTATCTGACATGTACTTATTTTTCATTTAGGATTGATGGGAAACCTGAGGATGTCCTTAACCCAAAAAAGAAGCAGTTGGAAAAGATAACACCTGTATGTTTCTTTACTTTTGTTTATATTTTACTCTTTTTTTTTTTCTTTCATTTTCTTGGCATTACCCAATTGAGCTACCCAGGCCCGTAATGGTTCTGATTTTGCTATAGTACGTTTTTGTCACAAAATTTGAATAAAAAAGGTTCCCGTCAATAGTTCTTTTACAAAATTTAAATTCAGAATACAGAGTCAATAGTTCTTTTACAAAATTTAAATTCAGAATACAGAGATCACTGACTTGAAACACATGAACCAAACAGGCCATATTAATGTTTTGTTTTGGATGTGTCTTATGTTTTGATGTTTCATTGTTGTAGCATCTTTTTACTGACGAGAAGGGCGTTGCCACATTTAAAGGAATACCCTTTATGACATCTGCTGGGCCATGCACTTCCTCCATTCCCAAGGCTACCATCAAATGATCATTTAGATTAGTGCTCCATCATACAACTACAACTAGGTATTGTAACTCACTCTGTAGAGGACGTTTTTAGCATTATTTGCTACTTTAACGACAACATAAACCATGAGAATGCAGTTTCATTTTTGACGGTTCAAAATGCGTGAATGCTGTTATTTTGTGGTTTTCCTTTATAAAAAAAAAAAAAAAATTAACGCAACGTTACTATCGATATGAATTAGGTGTGGGATATAACAGTGTTAACACTCCAACCCGTCCAAGTCGAAATGTGTGACCTGAATCAGGATGCATAGTATTTAACTTTTATGGCTCTCTTCGCTTTGCGGGTTCAAATTGTGTATCACTTGTGTTTCATGCCTCTAAAGCTAGTTGAACAGCAAAAGGGTTAGGCCTTTGTTTAGTTGTTATAAACTGCACGGAGTTTCGTGCTTCTAAAAGCTTATATGGGGCCAGTTTTGAAGTGGGGTTGAAATAATTTGGCCGAACTTCCTTGAGATAATTGAGTGGTGCACTGCCTTACCAAGTGGTACTGTCCTTGATTATTTGGTGGTCTTGCGTGTTTGTGTGGATCATAGATGGCCTAACTAAACATTATTATTATTATTTTGGTAAGAAAGCTATCATTGAACAAAGAACAAGCAGGAAGAAGTTGCCAAGTGCTAACCTAAAGGGACGCTGCCCCACCAGTGCCAAAAAACAGAACATAGCATTAAAGAAAAGAACTAAACATATAATGATCCTTAGGGATTTCCATAAGCTCTCCGAAAGCAGGGAGATTAATAGCGATAATGCGATGGCAAAAAATAATTGGGTGTTTGGTAAACTGTAATTATATATGTATTGATTCTAGGAGTATTATGAGTATTACGAAAGTTTTATTAATTGTACTTTAAAGTGATTGCCGCATAATCTAAAAGTTAAAGTTGCATTTGGACTGTTTTTGATTTTAATTGTAAATTCTTTAAAAATTCTTTAAGAATAACTTTTTATGGTTTTTACTAAATATAAATTTCAGCTGTGAATGACTAGAATTGATTTTGGACTCTAAAAATCACTATCAAACATATCGATTATACGCCATGGCATTGCCCCTCTTCCTCGTCCAATTAAAGGAGGAGGACTGAAAATCTTGAACTAAATGAAGTACACCTATCTTGAAATTAACCACCTCTATGGCAGGATAAGACAACTCGTTGATACATTATTAAGTGCTGCTACTATCCTATTATGTAGAACTCACCCACTTCTAAGGGAAGGACTTAAAGACAGTGGATGTTTGGTTAATAAATTTAAAATTATAATTTAAAATTATTCTCAATTTATGTGTGTTTTTTTTATGAGAGAAAATACTGTAGCGAACCACGAACCATGATTCAAATCATGACATGAATACACTAACAAAAGGGATATCCACTAATCATCTTATATTTATTAAATGTGAAACTTTCGGAGCCCGTTTGGTTGAAGGATTCGTTCTCTGATTCGAATTATGGTTCATGATTCGCTACAGTATTTTCTCTCACAAAAAACACACGTAAATCGAAAATGGCTCTAAACTCATGGTTCTAATCCATGAACCAAGCGGGCTCTTGATATGTAGACTTTTGAGAGATATTAGGGACATTTTTTATGTTACTCTTTGCATTCACAGTTTGACATGTAAACTTCACTAACATAATATATTATTATTTAAACAAAAAATGTAGTAGTAGAGTCCACGTATCAAATAGCGAATACAAAATGAGATAGAAAGAGTGATGTTAGCATTTCTCATACACTTTTATTTTACACCACCATATATTAATTTGTTTTCATTAATTTGTATATTTTTGTATTTCAATTTAGTTTTAACATGATTTGATAATGAACATACAACACCCATCAAGATATTTTATACTTTATCATAAAAAGGTTTAGAAAAAAAAAGGGGTAAATTATTTGGTGGAACTCCAAAAATGCTTATACCAGTGGAAGCATTGTTTTTGACTGTTGGATTAAATTTTTAACGGTTAAATTTGTCCATGTCCATATTAAAAATTTACAGTGTGTCGCACGAAATTACTCCCTCTATAGATCTAACTGCTAAAAATTTAATCTAACGATAAAAAATAACAGTTACACCCGTAAAAACATTTAAGGGGTTCCACCCTAAAAAAAATGTAAGCTTTTAATAATGAAATCCAATGAAATTTGGATGCAAACACCATAATTTTCTTAACAATTCTCATTAGTTTTTCTAAGATTATTCTGAAACCAACGTTGACTTTTGATGTCTTGATTTTCGCAGTCCAAATCCAAATGAATGGACGTGCTAATTTTTGGCAAAAGATAACACTTCTATTTTGACGGCCAGAGAGTTTTCAAATCTTTCAATCGGCTCCCACATCATCCAGGATTTGGATTCTTACTTAGACCCACCGACGTATTTTCAACAACGAGGCCAAATTGTGACGATGGCATATCTACTAGATTCTGTTACAGTTGGATCAAGAGATTGTAAAACAATGTCAGATTCTCGATATCTTACTAGGAAATAATGTTTGGTGTTTCTGTCTCTCTCTTTCTCTCTCTCTCTCTCTTTTTTTTTTTTTTTTGGATATTTTACATATTTATTCCCTTAATTTATTGGATTTTGGTAACTTACCCCATACACCTCTCATTTTTCACACTTTACCCCCTTACTTGCAAAAAGTATTGCAATGTGTCCATTTCATAATTTTTTTGTCATATATTACCCTTTATGGAATTGAGATTTAGTGAATTGAGAGATTAGTCTGTTTGAATTTTTTGTATCGAATGTGCTTTTCAATCACAAATTTAACAAACCACATCAATATAAAGAACATTGTAATGATTTTACAAATTTGAGGGATAAATTATCAAAATCAAAATTTCAGAAAACAAGTTGTTAAGACTCTGTAAATTCAGGAATAAATGTGCATGACACTTTTTTTTTTTTGAGGTTTGACTTCGGCAACGTTGGAAGTTGGAACTATTGGATGACAAGTTTGATTTGACATACAATCTACCTCTCAGTTTGTTTCCCTCTCTATATTATCCATTACCTTTTTAAATTTTCTTTTTCTTTCTGTTTCCTGTTTCTATCTCTCTGAGATCCATGACATCATTAATTTCCCATATCTTTAATCGTCGACTTATTCCAATTGCTCCAATTTTATTATTATTATTATTATATTTGTATTTTATTTATTTATTTATTTTTGCTTATCAAACGATTGCTTCTGATTTGATGCCTACTTTCCATAATCGGAGATCAAACACAGAGAATGGGTCTTTACATGAAAAGTGCATGATCTTTATTCTTCCATTTAAATTACGTGTTCTCAATGTGTACACACACAAACACACACATATATATATATATATATATATGGTTCTAATAATTACTTTAATATTATCTATTAATGAATAGTTATAACTTTAGACATAAGAAATCGAACTGAGAATTGTAATAAGTTGAGTAGTTGATTAAAAATTTAATGATAATTAATGAGATTAAATTTTGATGACGTCATCTCATTAAATTTTTATATTTGATGAATAACCATTATAAAAATATAAAAATTGAATACTTGTCCATATATATAAAAAATGGCACTTTCTTTTAATAGAAACTATCTGGCATTTTCCATGTTACAAAAATAAAACAGTTTAAATGAGAGTATCTATCTAACAGTGTACCTTTTTTAGGTTGTATCGTAATCAAATAATGTTACATGTAGCACATATATATCCTTTCAAAATAATGAATATACGTGATATCATAATCAAATAATGTACATATATCATTTCACAGTAATCATATAGTAAAACCGGAAGAAAATATGTTTAAGAATAATTCTTTGTCTGCCAAAATCTTTGATATTATTACCTACCTATCAAAATACTCGTATATTGTGGATTCTTTTTTAAATATATATATATATATATATATATTTGTAATATGCTACTTCTACTATTAAAACTTTACATAATATTATCGATATCAACTGTGAAGAATCATATATAGAAATTAAGTTAATCACTTGCCAATGCTAATTAAAATTTCACAAACCAAAAAAAAAAAAAGAGAAGGAAAGAGAAAAAAAAATCATGTTCATATTGAAATATATAATTTTTATTGAATTATATTGAAATATATTGACTCTTGGCGAATGATAAGCCGCGTACATAGAATGCGAAAATTCTATTGGCTTTCCTCGTCCAATAAAAAATAAAATAATTCAAGTAATAAAGGCCTCGTTCATTTCACAGATTTAAGTTTTTAATTTTAAGTTTCTACAGTAAAAAGTTATCAGAAAATGTCACATCTCAACTTGAATTGAAAACTCAAATTCGTGAAGTGAATGAGTCAAAAATGATTGGTATATTTTAGATCATGTATATGGCAAGAGTTTAAATGCGTCACGAGGTTTCTAAAAGTAGAGCATATCTAGCAGAAAGGATCGCCAGATGTGGGAATTCAGATTCTGATACTGATTCTCTACAAAAGCCAAATAAGAAAAATAGATATACAATGTACATATTACACACATATAGATATATGATATATGATAATATATGACAACAGTGAATGAAAATTATATATGACACGGTGGGAAATGACGAAAGGGACTGAATCAAATCGAAAGGGAACCCCAAAAAGGATCACGAAATATCTGTGACTTTGATATTTATTATCTTTCCGATTCTCTCTCTCTCTCTCTCTAATTTTCTCAGAATTTCCAGTCCATCAAACACTCTCTCTCTCTATAAAAACGACCACATTACAAGGCTCATACGTCTCATGTGAGCTCTCTTTTGTGTTGTGCTTAAATTTTTTGTCAGAGAAAAGGGGTCTTGGGTCGTCGTTTTTGTGTAATTAATTCCTTGTGCAGTGACCGGCTCTTTTATTGCAAGTAGGCAAAAGGCCGTTTTGTTATTGTCTCGTCTGTTGGGGTTATTTTTTTCTGTTACGTCATTAGCTTTTATTGTTCCTCTCTTTGTAATTTATAACTAGAGGGAGTTCGATTATTTTTTCTGTACTGGGGTGGTTGGTTTTTTTCTTCTTAAATATGGAGTCTGGTTCTTCTTCTTCTTCTTCAAAGGTTTTAATGGAAAATATTGTGGACCAGCCTCATGTTTTGGCTGTGGACGACAATGTCATTGATCGCAAACTTGTTGAAAAACTCCTCCAAAATTCCTCTTGCAGAGGTAAATTAAAAAAATAAAAAAAAAACTTTGGTTCTTTTTTTTTTTATTATTTTTTTTTCTTTCTTTCTTTTTTCTTTTTTCTTTTTATTTTTTTATTTTTTATTTTTGTCTTTTGACGTGTTCTGTTAATGGATGTGCAGTGACAACTGCAGAAAATGGGCCAAGGGCGTTGGAGTTTTTGGGCTTGGGAGATCATCGACACAATGCCTTGGAAGGCAATGTAAGTAAAAAACCAAATTGTTTTGATTTAGGAAAATAAATTTTTTGAAAAAAAGAGGAAAAAAAACCTATTTGAAAATGTTTGGTAATAAAGCTTTTGTCTTGAGATTTTTTCGTATTTTGAAAATAACCCTTTATGTATTTTATATGTAGGTGTCAAAGGTGAACTTGATAATTACAGATTATTGTATGCCAGGAATGACAGGCTACGACTTGCTTAAGAAAATCAAGGTATTATACTTTTCAGGAATTAATCACTCTTATAAACTTAATGATTCTTTTACTATTATTCTAGTTAATAAAGGGCCGAAGGGTTGTTTGGTTTAATTGGAAAATTACTTTGTCTCTTTGCAAGCAGGAATCATCAGTCATGAAGGAGGTTCCTGTGGTGATTATGTCATCCGAAAACGTTCCAACCCGTATTAACAAGTAAATGGTCAACTTCATTAGGAAAAAAAATAAAAACAAACAGTCAATTTTTTCTTTGAAAAAAAAAAAAAGAGTAAATAGTCAATTTTGGCTCACTCACTTTTTCTTTTTTTAAAAAATAAAAATTTATAGATTTTTCTCGTACCTTTGACAGAATATTCTTAAATTGGACATTCTAAGGTTTCCAAACTTTTGAACAGGTGCTTAGAGGAAGGAGCTCAGATGTTCATGATAAAGCCCCTAAAGCAATCTGACATTAAGAGGTTGAGATGCCATTTGATGAACTCCAGAAGCTAAAAAGAACATATTTTTCCATGCTAAAATGGAAGTAATCTGAGGGATGAAAATCTTTTGAGGAGACCCCCATTTTAATGCTTTTAACATTTGTCATGACATAGGAATTTGCTTCGGCTGCTAATTCTGTTTTTGTTAGACGCTAGTTAGTCTCCAAATTCACATTCTTACATGTAGCAAGCAAATTATATCACTATTAGTTTCAATTAATGATATTATTTTTTTTTTCCAATGTTGAATTTTCTCATTTGGTTGTCACAAATCACAAGCTTATTTGGAAAATTATGAACCCAAATGTCATCGTTGCGTACAAGTTACAATTACCTAAATGTAAATTTCAACAAGGAACTTTGGATTCTTGTGACTAAACTTTTGTTTCGTATGGAAAAAGAGACTGGCAAATAGGTAATTGGCACAAGTTACAATTACCTAAATGTAAATTTCAACAAGGAACTATGGATTCTTGTGACTAAACTTTTGTTTCGTAAGGAAAAAAAGACTGGCAAATAGGTAATTCAAAATTTTCAGCAAAAAAAAAAAAAAAAAGTAATACAAAATGAACCAAAGATTACAAATACGTGACCTCTTTTTTCATTTTTTTTTTCCAATTATAGCTACATATCAACAACTAAAAATGAAATGTAGAGCAAACGTGATCCTCTACATTATAATCTCTCCTGACAAACTTGTTCTTTTTGCCCTTTTGAGTACAATTCCAAAAGCAAATCAAAATTCCAATTGAAGCAAAGCTCCAAACTTCTATCGTATACACAATACACATCAAGAACCCAAAAAGTCAAAGCAAGAATTAAAAACAATAACAAAGATCTGAAAAAAAAAAGTCAAAAGAAGTGCTTGTGATGATGGTGACGGTGACGATGCCTATGGTCATCCAATCCAAAGCATTGAATCACAGGATAACATGTCACAAACATGCATCTTGCGATCCCTCTCACCATTGACGACACCACAGAACAAGGACAACAACAACGGGAACTGATTTTATCGTCGCGGCTGGTCTTTCTTCCATTAAGATTGTTCTTTCTCTTGCGGCTATGGCGATGTTGCTTGCCCATGTGTAAACAAACTCTTCCTCTGCAGAATCACCTAAACCAACCAAAACCCAGAAATCATATGCCAAAATTAGGAATACCCACATGATGATCTAGAGGAAAGTATTACAATTCAAAATTCGAGATTTCTTACCTTAAAATGATGAGATTATTGTCTATTTTGTCTCCTTTGTGGACGCTAGGGAGGCTCAACTCAACCACATAATATTTCTTAAGTCATTAAATTTGATGTTTATTTAGGGGAAGAATCAAAGGAGTTTTGGCCATTGGGAATCTCCGAATCTTGGTACAGCTTTTTTATTGCTGTAAAATGGTCGAGGAAAGATGTTAAGCAGAGAAAGAATATTCGTTTGTATAGGCTCTCTCTTTCTGCGTTTCGCAGAGAGGAAGCAAAGAGTCTGAAGAAGGGAGGTTTGTGCGAGACTGAACTTGACCAATTGCCTCAAGTAAAGACACCGTGTCGTTTGCGCGTTAGGTTCTCAACTTCTCGTTTTATATCATAACAACAAATGAATGGCCCACTTAAAAAAAATAAATAAAAATAAAAAAATTATAGGCTCCCTTGGTTTCCAGGGAAATTGGAGGCTACTATGAGGGACACCAAGTGTACTGACACTGTTCATTATATATATTATAGAAAGGGAGAAGATTGTGTCGTGTAAAAATTGCATGTTTGTTATACGCACAACCTTATTTAACTAGCATAAGTGATGGATAAATAATAAAAATGAGTGGTTTTCTGTGAAGCTAAGTGTTAAGACAAACACTCTAGTATATCTCAATAAAAAAACACAAAAAAGGACAAACATTCATGTCCATTATATATAAACAAGATGCCCATCGTGATTGCTAATATAATCTAACACTAAGGCTTAGTTTGGTAGTACTTAAGAATTTGAAAAAAAATTATAAGGTTAAATTGTTGTGGATAATTAAAAATTATGATTATATTATATTATATTATAATATACTATATATAATTATAATATAATATATAATTATAATTATATTTAATATAATACAATAAAACTATTATTATATAATTATGATATAAAATATACTAATATTATTAAAATAATAAACTGAAATAACGATTATATTATATTATACTATAATATAATATATATAATTACAATATAATGTATATTTATTATTATATTTAAAATAATACAATAAAATATTATTAAATAACATATTATATAACTTATTAAAATGGTTAATATAATATCAATATTATAAAACATATTATAATATTACATAAGAAATATTAATATTTTAGTTATAATATAGTTTAAAATTACACTATATTATATTATATTATATAATCATTATTATATTATATAAAAAAATATATTATAATTAATATATTATATAACCATAACGTGTGTAATACACTGTTAATAAATTATAAAATAATAATTACAATATCATATTATAATTATATATTGTAATTATCTTATAATTATAATATCATATTTTTAAATTAATTATAATATTTTTATAATATCATATTATATGATAAAATAATAATATTAGAGTTATTAATATAATTATGATATTATTTGTTACAATTTTATATTATATTACGAGTCTGAATTTTAGATTGAGAAAATTGTAAATTTTAAATTTTCTTAGGGGTATTATGAAAGTTTCATTAATTGTACTATGTTGATTCCCGCACAATTTAAAAGTTAAAGTTGTCTTTAGGTTGTTTCTGATTTTGACTGTAGATTCTTAAAAAATTCTTCAAAAAGTATTTTTGAGGAGATTTACCAAATACTAAATTTTGAGAGGAAAAATCAATACCAAACTAAGCCTAAATCCTAGCATGATTCCATCTTGAGACGCAGTGTTCAAATACCAAATAAACAAAAGTCCATGACCTCCTATCCCACCGTCTACAGTCTACACACATTTGAAGCTCGTTAGCAATAGTGTGTAAATGAAGTAAATGACAAAAAGAAAAAGGGTGATATTTGAAGCTCCCCAAAGGATGGCAAAAGCCCAATGGGCCACTGTGGAAGACAAAAAAAAGGACGAAAAAAAAAGACTCTGGAAAATTTAAATAATAAAACAGTAATATATTAAGAATAGCTAAATTTAATATCATTAATTTAATGACTATATAATTATATAGTAGAAAATATGATCTAAACTATGATAATTATTATATAATTTTTGTGCAAAAAAAAGGGTGAACACTGATAAGAGTGAACACAGGATGGAAAATGAAAATTGAAAAGGACGCGAATAGATACGCATATACATCTTAAAGTAGCTTATAGTGTGAAAAATGTGAAGATAAACAAAACAAAGCCCCGACCTTCATCACTTGACGATATACATCCAACGCCCAACACACACACACACTCTCTCTCTCTCTCTCTCTGCCCAGCAATGGCGGTTTTGATGGAACCCTCTTCATCTTCACTAAACCCAATCTTCCCTTCCAATTCTAACCCATATCGTCGTGATCTCAGAGTTTTTAAGAAACCGCCGACCCTTCTTCTCCGCCTCCACTCTCCGGCCCCTTCGGCGGACCCACCTTGCTGCGCCGCCACGCCCCCTTCTCTTGGAGATCAAGAACCGGCGCCGGACTCCTCCCCAGAACGGACACGAGATCGCCGGAGGGCGGTTCGCTTGGCCTGGGAGAAGCTCGTTCGGTGGTCCAGGTCCTGGCGCTCCAAGGCCAAAACCGACGTTCTTGAGAAAACTAACAAGGTATTATTAATAGCCTCTTCAGAGGTCTTTTTTTTTTTGGATCGTAAAAAAAAGCGTTTTGTATTTTTGCCAATCTTATGCGTTTCCTATTGCAGCAAAATTTACAAAGGTTCATTTTAGACATTTTATCCATTTGGACTTGTTTGTTCATTGTCTTTGGTGGACTGGAATGCATAAACGGGTGTACTACTTTTGTTGTACATTTAATGTATAATTTGTAACTTTAGATTTTTTTTAAGTGATAATAGTTTGATTCTTTAGGTTGTTGTGCTTGGAGGTGGATCTTTTGGTACTGCATTGGCTGCCCATGTTGCAGGCAGAAAGCCTGAATTGGAAGTCAGCATGCTTGTACGTGATCCTCAAGTTTGTCAGTCTATCAATGAGAACCATTGTAATTGGTACACAACACAAGCACCTAATCTTATCATAAAATATAGACTTAATGTGCATTTGAATTTTTCCTCTAAATCTTGTTTTTATGTTCTTCATTTTCAGTAAATATTTCCCCAAACACAAGCTACCCCAAAATGTAGTTGCAACCAGCGATGCTAAAGCTGCCTTGCTGGGTGCTGACTATTGCCTCCATGCCGTCCCTGTACAGGTTTGGCGGATTGGCCTCCAAATTTTGAATCTTTTGTTGCGTCAAATGTTGATCTAAGTCCTGTTTCTTAAGAGGGCAATACCGTTTAAGTCGCAGAAAAATTAATTTAGTTTGTTTCGGCTGATACAACATTTTGCATAGATCAGAGGCAGATACCTGAATATGTCTATGTTATATTGCAGTTCAGCTCTTCTTTTCTTGCTGGAATTGCAGAACACGTTGATCCTGGTTTGCCATTCATATCCCTCAGCAAGGGCTTAGAGCTAAATACACTGAGGATGATGTCTCAGATTATTCCCCATGCATTGAAGAATCAGCGCCAGCCTTTCATTGCATTATCAGGGCCTTCTTTTGCTCTAGAACTAATGAACAGATTGCCAACAGGTGATCATCAGATTTGTTGCATTATGCTTTTCCATTGTAGAATCCACTGCCTCCGATTGAATCGTTGTTCCAGATACTTAACTAGCTTCTCTGACTTCTGCCCTTTTTTTGGCCTTTGCAGCAATGGTGGTGGCATCAAAAGACAAGAAATTGGCAAACGCAGTTCAGCAGCTACTAGCTTCTGACCATCTAAGAATCAGCACTTCAAGGTATTGGTTCTATAACTTTGGTTCTAAAATTGCGAATTTAGGAAGCACAATTGTGTACTCTAATTCCTTTATGTCATGGATCGTTTAGAATGTAATGCCAAAAGTAGCATCTGCATATATCTAAGTCGACTGGTCCTGCTCGTAACCTCTGATAACTCACAGTGATGTCACAGGGGTGGAGATCGCAGGTGCCCTTAAGAATGTGCTTGCAATTGCTGCAGGAATTGTGGAGGGGATGAATCTTGGTAACAATTCCATGGCGGCTCTTGTTGCGCAAGGTTGTTCCGAAATACGATGGTTGGCAACAAAGGTATCTTCCACATAAATTTTTTTCCCCTTTCCCAACCAAAATGTAACAAAAAGAAAACATGTTTTCTCTAAATTGTTATCATTTTTGGCTTTGGTTTATGTTCTTGGTATGATTGGTGCTGCTTATTGCAAACATTTCCTTTCCATAGTTCCTCTTTTCTCACAAACTTTTCCCCCCTACTTATTTCTTGAAGATGGGAGCAAAGCCGACGACGATTACTGGTCTATCAGGGACTGGAGACATCATGCTTACATGTTTTGTGAATCTTTCAAGAAACAGAATGGTCGGAGTCCGTCTAGGATCCGGCGAGAAACTGGAAGACATCTTGAGTTCCATGAGTCAGGTGCTTGAAAAGTTTGGACCTAACTGTTCATTGTTGAGATTGTGCTAATTTCAGTGTAACTCAATTTGATGATATTTAGTAGGTGGCAGAAGGTGTATCAACAGCTGGAGCTGTTGTCGCTTTGGCCCAGAAATATAATGTAAAGATGCCAGTTCTAACGGCAGTTGCTCGGATTATTGACAATGAACTGACACCAAAGAAAGCTGTTTTCGAGTTGATGAGCCTCCCTCAGGTTATTTTTAACCCTGTTATATTCAAGGAAACTCATGTAATGACTTTCTTTTTTCTCTGTAATTTTAAGTTTTTACATGTATGTGGCTCTCAACAGTCTGTCATATTTCAAATTGTAGGTTGAAGAAGTATGATTTGTCCGAGACTCTAGCAAGAAATCCCGATTTTGTCAAGAAATCCCGATTGTCATTGAACTCGGCTTCGGAACTTCACCAAACCATTCATTTTGCATAGATTTCTTTTCATTCGTGTTTTGCATTCAGTGTCTATTCTTTAATTTACCCTTCTCCGAATACTTGACCAGGAGAACAGTTTTGCAACTCGGGGATTATAGTTTTACAAAGTACAGGTCCGAATTCCAGCCTTTGTCCTCCAATTTCATGGAAATACTTCTCAACAAATTTTTTCATAAAACAAAAGAGCATTTCAATTAAATTTCTGGTAATTACATGAAAATTGTTGCTGAGTGCTAGTGTAAGGAATATGCCTAGTATTCTTTGCTGTGGGAGTGGACCTATAAATCTGAGTATCCGGATCAACGTTTCTAAAACCCTGTTGTGGTAATTAAAAGGAAAATTAATTAACTACTAAGATGGGAGAGGCACATGCCAATCCAAAAACATAAATAAAGATATCAAATGAAGGCCATTTCCAATTGCTCCCAACTTCCTAATAAGCTTTTTTGGACCTATTGAGGTAAGTAAATATATCAAGAAACCTATAAGCAGTAGGGGCAAAGAAACGCACATATCAATGATCAATGAATAAAAACTGATATAACTTTCATTTTTAACTTCTTTTTAATACCACTAACCCAAGTCATGCAATTATTCAAGATGAATAACACAAGGCAAAGCAAGGCTCAAAAACATCACTTAAACGCAACATGAAAGTATTTGTAGACACACAAGTTTGTACAAGTCAAACGAAAACATTATATACAACAGTTTGTAAGTCTGTTTCTTTCAGTCGAATCTTTTAGTCGACAACAACAAAAATTCTTTCTTCTACGAGGGCAAGTACCGAAGCAACAAGCAGATTCTATAAAAGGGTCAGATATATCACAAAGTATACCTTTCAAATCACAACAAGCGCATGCTAAAGAGGTAAAAAAGAGTGTTCTTTCATTCTCATCGTTGCTTACTCCGGCTACTCTTGAAAGCAAGTCCCCGCCTGAGTCCCATAATCAGCTGCCTGATGCTGCTATTGGATGTGGGATCCGCCAGCCATCCTTCTTCGTCATCAAACGCCGACTGATAACTCCGACTGCGATTGCGAACGCCGAAATATGGCGAAACCAAGCTCTCACAAATCACCGTCTCCTGCAGATGATGCTCGGCCCCTCTGACCTCAAGGTTCTTGAAAGTTTTCTCCATCGGATCATACACAAGAAACCCTTCTCCTCCAACGCTCATAAGCAATTCACCTTTCTTGGTGAAACAGAGCGGCGTGTACCGTGAGCTGTACACCGACTGGCTCGGCCCCTGCGATCTCGGAATACTGATTAGCTTTGTCCATTTCTTGTCGTCACTCGTAACCCAGACATCGACGACGCTCAGTCTCTGGCTGTGGAGCATGCAGAGCTGGTCCTTCAGGGATCCAATCCAGGAGATATTCCGGTTGTTCTCATCGGGCGGCGGCGGCACGATGCTGAACTTCTCCGATGCCAGATCGAATCGGAGGATCACGCAGCGGAGCGAATCGCCCTCCTCGGCGAGCCAGTAGAGGCCGCCATTGGCGTGGGTGGCCTGGAAGACGTGCTCGACGAAGTACGGCGGCCTGTCCTCGTCCGGAAGCTTCCTCCAGCAATTGGTCTTGAGACTGAAGACCTCGATCTTGGGGACGAAATTCGGGACCTTCATGCGGCAATACATGGAAGGGAATCGCACGATCTTGTAGTCCTGAGTCGATGAATCGAACCCCAGGCCGAAAACCTCCCTGGTGCTGCGGAAATTGGGAGGGAGAGGCATCTTCCTGTACTCGTTGATGGAAGGGTTGTAGAGGAGGAGGAATCCCTGAGCGCCGTCATTCATGACGACGCAGAGGAGGCCGTCGCAGTGGCCCTTGACGTAGTACGGGAAGTACGGAAGCATGGGGAAATCGAGCTCCGCCGCTTGTTGAGGAGAATCTTCCTTGTGTGGGTCCATCGATAAAAGAGAATCGCCATAGCGGGCGAGGATTATGCTGGAAGCCATACCTAGGTGAGATTCCGATCGAATCCTCCTCAGATGCGCTCTGACGAAGCCGCGACTCGTCAGCAGAGACCGCCATGCCTTCGATACGCACCTGAATCGCACCAGACACTTCGCCGGCAGCCGTTTCAGAATCTCCACCAAGATGTCCTCCGAAAACAACATTTAGGAGCTTTTTTCGTTTCTCAGATCAGATTGGGTTGGGGAAAATGGAAAAGAGAATTTTTGGGAGTTTTCTCTCTCTTTTATCTAATTTTCTAGTCTAATGGACGGCACCGGTGTTCGCCGTGGCACCGTCCCAACAAGACATGTGGTTCACAAACGTGTTTTGTCTCGTTTATGGTGTTTTGTCTCGTTAGTGCTTTAAGTTGGACAATGTTATATAGGTAATGTAGTGTCCACTTAGTTGATTAATTTAAATTTTTAATTTAAATTAAGTTGTGATTATTTTTTAAAATTTTTTATTATAATAAAAATGTGAGATGTGACTATTTTTAAATTTTTTTTATTATAATAAAATTTAAATTCTAAACTTGAATCAATGAAATGAACATCACCTTAATATTTTTCCTCTTCTTTTTAATCTTTAGAACTTGGTTAAAGATTGCTCTTGAAAGTATTTACGTTAAGATTTTTATCTTTTATTTTTAATTTATAATTTATTATAAAAATAAAAATAGAAAAGAGAGGAAAAAGTAATAATAAAATAAATAAAAAAAGTAAAAGAATTCAGATTCTAAATGAATGAAAACGTGACTAAAATGGTCCTAGTTACTCTTTAGAGGAATGAAAGAAAAGAAGAGGTTTTCGAACAAGGAAAAGGATCCAATAACTTCAAAAGAATTGAATGAGGAGCCGTATGAGATGAAAATCTCACATACGGTTCTGTAGAGTGGTAGTAAAGTTGATTTATCAATCAACTTTTTCACTATTATCCTTAAAATATCAAATAAAAGAATATTTATTAAGAATAAGATATGAAAATTTAGACTTATACACTCTGAAACACAAATTATTTTATTTTTTCTTAAAACTTCTCTCTAACTTTTTTCCTTAAAAAAAAAAGAACTTCTTTCAACTTGCTTTTTTTTTCCTTCGGTTGGTTTCACCAAAACGCGTTTATGTAGATTGTGGAAAACCAGTAAGAATACGTATGTTTTAGGAATGAGAATCTCTCATAAAAAGTATACCTATACAATATCATCACGCGATATGAAACTTGGAACTTCCAATAAACGTTTCACTAGTGCTTGCTTTGCTTCCCATATTGAGAGTTCTCTGGCCCACAAGTCCTTACTTTTAAGATCTTTATTTTTTAATATTGAGACATATATCAAAAACTTTTTATTCTATATATTTTTTAATCATTTTAAACAGACCTAACGGTCTATAACTAACTCTATTGAAGGAAAGTCGGAGAAAATTCTTCTCATATTTAAGATTTATTTGTTTTACATGTTTAAAATTATGATTCTGATTCAGCCATAGTATTTTTTTCTCACAAAAAAATTGAATAAAAAAATTCTCACTAATAGTTCTACCATAAAATTTAAATTCAAAAACAACATCACTGATTTAAACGCGCGAACAAAACGAGCTATTAATATTTATAAAATGACTTTTTAGGGTTCTAAATCGTGTCAATAAGATAGACAAATGAGTCATCACTTTTGCAATAGATTATTGAGAAAAACGGTCTGTGTCCCCAAGGAGACAACGAATCAAATCAAATCAAATTTGTGGGATTAACTTTCCATTAGCAAAGTGACTCTTTTAATAATTGATGTAAAATTAAGTTTTAAGTGTAACCCACCTATTACGCGCTACCTACTCCACTTTGCTTTTGATCAGCTATAATAACAAATGAAAATGGTTATGTTTGTTATGTTGCCCGCAGACAATGATAAGAAGACAAGAAGATCTTTCCTTTTCTGAACAGCCATGACTTCCAATCTCACCTACCCTTGTCCATTTCTGCATTCTTAAGGGGCAAACAGATTTAGGAATTAGTAGACCACATTTTTTTTTCAGAGTAAACTTAATTACTTTTCAGTCAAGTATACCAAAAAAAGCCGGCAGCATCATACAAGTCGGTCCCTAATTTGTGCCTAAGCGCTTTCATAAAAATAATAGCTTTGATTTTTGATTTTAACTTTTTAAATTATGGGTGGTGAAACGTAAATAGTTAAAGGTTTGGTTAAGCAAAAGTATAGTTGAAGTTACCCTCATTGTTCTCACCCTTGCACCCCACTTTTTTCTTTTCTCTAATAGCCATGTGATTGTGAAGAAGTCATTCCTGCGTGATGTATATATGCATATGTGAGATATATAAGATAAATATAGGAAGAAGAAGGCTTATTATTCCCTCTTGTCTTCTTCAAGATCTTCACCAAGTCCAAACACATGATGATCTCCTGCAGCTAATGCCTTCCTCTCCTTCCTTTCAAGAATGATTGCCACATCTCCGGCCACCTTAACTCCACTGGCAGTAAGCGAGATACCCTCTTCGTCGAAGTCATCTCTGATCTCCTCTGAGTATGCATATCTGCACCAAAACAAGCTCAAATCGAATTCATTAAGCCTTTAGGAATCCTGGATAATGAAATCCAACATAAAACTAGAATTTTTTAACGCAACTGAAATCTTAAGAAAATTTTTTCCATACGCGTGCTTTGTGATGGTGGGGAATAATTTTTCTCACCAAAGTGAATATCCAAGTTTCAGGGCTTGTAGTATGTTACGTTTTAACCCTCTTGGAAATGCATGTGAGTTTGATGCTTAGGTGGTTGTGCTACATGAAACTCAGGGAGAAATGCTAGCATCACTTTTTCTGTCACTGTGTTTATCACTTTCTGCATTTATTATTTGACACGTGAACTCTACTAACATGAATTATTATTATTTAAACAGAAACAGTGGACATGAAATATTATTATTTAAACAGAAAATGAGGTAGTAGAGTTCACATGTCAAACAATAAATGCAGAAAGTGACAAAGAGAGTGATATAAAAAGTGATGTTAGTATTTTTCATAACTCTAAAAAACAACACTGTAAATCGAGGCTACAATTTCAAAAAGCCCTCCTTCGCTGACATTCCAATAAGTCCACGTAAAACCTGTAACTGCTGGTCTCCAAGTTGCAATAAATCACCACATCATCTTTTTCAATATGTGTGTATAGAGATGACATTTGGGATGATATGTGCAGTTAGCATAAAAAATTGCTAGAGATGCCGGTGGATAAACTATTTTAAGCAATTAAATACAACTTCCTGATCCTACATTACGCTCTAAGTCTTTAAATGGTCACATGAGAAGCAATACATTGAAAAGAGATGGAAAATAGTATCAAGAAACAAGGCAAGAATTTAGAGAGTACCCAGTTGGGTTCTGAGATGGAGCCCAGAGAACGCATATCACTACTAAGATTATATAAGCGAGCAACGTCCAGAAAGTTGGAATGATCCAAGCCGCTCGCCAAAGTTCGCTCAGTGGGTCAGTGGCATTGAAGTACAACTGAAGCAATCAAAATCAAAGTTTAGACCTCAGATACTGCACGACTAATGTAATAGTACAATAGTGAAATGGTAATGTTTCATGTCAGATCGTTCAAGAGGTATGGATTTTTCAAAAACATATGCACCATGCAGTTCTCATAACGGTTATGTTTTGATTCTTGAACATTGAGATAGCAAAGGTAGACACAGCATGCACGATAATAGAAAGCATTATGATAGAACCAGCAATTATCAAAGATAGAAATCAGAAAAAACAAGGAAATTGATCGATCAAAACTGGAATTGTATTGATATTACTAAAAGAAATTAAGAAGGAATACAAGATATGGGGGTTTTCGAGAGACCCCTTACTATAACTATGATGATCTATGCCCATTTCCCCTGGCTCACGTTTTATTCCACGCTCTTCTAACAACCTCTCTAATAGAATCCTCCCAAACTCGTAGGTCCCTGACCTTAGCGGACCTCATCCCATCTCAAACAAGACTTGTCCCGAATCTATCACAGCACTCCCCTCCAACTCAGCCATCTCCTGGCCAACCACATCATCCAATTGCTGCTCCTCAACCGTTCCATTAGCCTGATCCGAATCCGGCTCCGCAACCCTCAGCAGCTCCTCGACTTGAGCAACACCAATTTCCCACCCCTCTTCCTTCGAGCATAAGTGAAGTGCATAGGTTGTCTATCAATACCCCCCGCCCAGAGTTTCACCTTGTCCTCAAGGTGAAAGTGAGGAAACTACACGTTGAGGACATCATAGAGTTCCCATGTACCATCATGTGGGGAGAGATAGTGTAACGTCCCAATTTTTGGGCTCAAACTTTTGAATTAATTTTGTATGAAGGAATTGTAAGAGAAACGATAAAGGAGTTCAAAGATTAAATTGCAAGGCTTTGGGGGGCAAGATTGTAAGAATTTTCATATTTAGGGGCCAGATTACAATATTAGAAAAAAAGGGGGCCAGCTGCCCTTTCACGTGGCATGGCTGGAACTTCAGCCAAGCCACCAATTTTTCTTCTTTAGCCACGTTGAGAGGATGAAGCATTATAAGAAGAAAAAAAAATTTCACTTACTTCTCTATCTCATTCTCTCTCTCAACTCCCTTTCACGTCTCTCTTCCTCTCTCTCCGTTTTTTCCCTTTTCTTTGATTTAGTCTACTTCTTCCACAAAGGACTGCAACAACTTATTGAATCAAAGGATTGATTAGAGCTAGGGTTCAAGGTAAGAGTTTTCTCCCTTGTTCCTTTAAATCCGAAAATTGGTTGTTTTGTGGCTTAATTGCTTGGGTTTCATGTTAAATGTTAATTATTTTGCTGGAATTGTAAACCTGGAGTTTTTCCCTTCTTAAAATTAAGTTAAAGTTTGCTTAGAGACATGTTAGTTCAAATTTTCCTTGAGAGATTTTTGTGTTATGTGGATTTTGGTTATGTTTGTAGAATTTTCTAGGCTTAGTGAGTAAGGATGAATCTTGGCGCTAATTGTATGGTGTTAGGACCGGAAATCATTACAATATTGATGTGTAATAATATGAGTTTGGGCTGGACAGAAATGAGGAATTTTACACGTTGAGGTTATGTGCAAAATCGTAAGATTAAAGGATCACATAAGTGACTGTCAAAGAAGAACTGAAAACTGTTATTTTTCACGTGGATTCTGGTCTTGATGTTTGTAGATCCATAAAATAGACATCCAAAGCTGCGCATAGCCGCAAGAATCACCTCAAACGGACAACTATAGCTCAAGTTATGCACTTTTAAAGTTAGGCATGATTCTGTAAATTCTGCAAAAAAATCAGCACATTTTGATCGAGTGTGACATGTTTTTAGAGGCCTTAATTAACTTGAAACCAAGCTTATCATAGCTCTTTGGAAAGCCCTAGAGGTCTACTTTGACTAGGCATTGATTTTGTAATTTTTGAGACTACATAGAATATTTTGTGAATATTCTCGTAGCAGTCGTCAAAACTGTCATTTCTAAAAATTGATAAAACCAAGAACTGAGGCTCCTACTTTTTGAAATGAGAGTGCTGCACTTAAACCACCTTTGCTACCATTTAGAACAGGTTATTAGTGGCGTGTGAGAGTAAGAATCACCTCATTTAGAGTTTTGTAGCCCGAGTTGTGCGCATAGGAAGTTTCATATATAAACTTTCTAAAAGCTGTCAAAACAGAAAAAAAACAGAATTTTGATTTCTTGAGAACTGTTTTTGAGGTACTTAGAGAGGTCAGATTTATGCGTATGATAGCTCGTTGGAAAGATATACATGTCTACTTTATTTTGGAATTAATTTTGGAATTTTTAAAGACAGAGAAAATATTTTATGAATTTTCTTGTCAAGATTGACGAATCTGCCAAATTAGAATTTTCAGAGGAATATGATTATGAATTAGAAATTGATTTATGGCTGAGCTATTGCGCTCTAATAACGATGGCCAATTTGTTTATTTTGGACAGTAGAAAGAAAAACGAACAAGGGAAGCGAAGAGAGTTAGACTCGGATTTTGCTAAGCAACTTAAGTACGTAGATGATGACTTCTCTGCAGCACTTGTAAACTTTGTTTGATAGACTTTCTATGGAATGTCTAGTATGCTGTATGCTATTATGTGAATTTTTGCAACATTGTCAATGTGTATGTTTTGTGAAGGCATGCTTGTGCTAATATATTGTACACAAAGTAGAACAACACTGATTATTAAATTGCTTGTGATTGAGCATATAATAGCATACATGATAGGCCGGTACTACCAAGTCCTTAAATGACTCCTATTGTGATATGGTGATTGATGAAATTGTGACTGAGCCGCGCAAGTCTTTCGAGCCAAGTGGGTGATGACAAAGACTATATTGTGATATTGAGAAATTGTGATTTTGAATGCGCTGACCATTCCCTCGAGCCAAGTGGGTGACAATGGAGAACCTGATATTGTGATTCGAGAAATTGACGTGTGGTCAGATTGTGAAAAAACCGGTGGCAGTACCGGGAGGACCCTAGAGATATATAGTGCACGAGCATAAAGTGTAATAATTGATTGGCATAAGTTAGCTAGAATGTTATGATGCACGCGTATGTTAAAATAAGATTGTGTAATTGTAACTCTACTTACTGAGCCTGTAGCTCATTAAAGTTTACTATATGTTGTAGGTAAAGGTAAGAACAAAACAGAACAATAAGCAGGGGAGTTGGCTTCGTTGACCCCTGTACATATGGTCAGACCGAAGAAGCTGCACGCGTATTATTTTGAGTTTGTAAATACATATGTTTTAGAGTTAAACTCATAAACCTTGGATGACTGTATAATTATAATTATGGCTAGGAAACCTGATAGGAATGGTGTATTAACGAAATCTTATTTAAGCAAAAATTTTGAAACACCATAGTTTCTACATAAATGAAAAGTGAATGTTAGTTATTGTGGCACATCCTTAGGATTAATAGTAAGAAAGGCTTGAAAGAGATGGTATAAAAGGGTGTCACAGATAGACCCAGTGGATAAGCACCTCCAGCTCGGCCACCGAGCCACGAACACACTGGCGTATAACCAACAGCTCCGTTGGTTCAGCCACCATCTCAAGGTCGGCGTCCAACTGCGGTGGTAGGGTAGGAATGGCCTAAGTATGCCCAATGGCTCGCCGGAGTTAGCAGACATGGAAAACTGAGTGTATGGAAGTGGTAGGCTGCAGGCGCAAGCAGTAAGCCACCTCCCCAACCTTGGCTTCGACTTCAAAGGGGCCATAGTACGGAGGAGCCAACTTCTCATTGGGATGCTTAGCAATACGGCGATAGGGCGGAGCTTGAGGTACACATATTCACCCACCGCAAACTGCACTTCCGGCGATGCTGATCCGTATAGGTTTTCATCCGATGTTGAGTTCAGAGGAGGTGTTGCTTGATAATGTCAAGCATGCCATCCCGCTCTTCAAGTTGCTTGTCAACTGAGGCCACTGGGAAGATCCGATCCCATAGCGGACAAGAGGAGGTGGATCCCGCTCATAGAGCACGCGAAATGGAGTGGTTTGTATAGCCGAATGGTAAGAGGTGTTGTACCGACATACAGCCCGCGACAACCATTTGTGCCATTGCCTTGGTTTATCCGAAACAAAACACCGCAAGTAAGTTTCGATGCACCGATTTAGGACCTCCGTTTGGCCATTGGACTGAGGATGGTATGTCGTGCTATGTTTGAGCGAGGTACCTTGCCGTTTGAAAAGCTCAATCCAAAACAAGCTCAAATCCCGGTCAGAGACAATTGATCAAGGGATTCCATGGAGGCACACCACGTCGTGGATGAAAACTCCAACCACCGTGACCGCATAATAGGGGTTTTGGAGCGAAAAATAGGTGTACTTGCTCAAACGGTCCACCACATCCAGGAGTGAATCGAATCCTTCGGACTTCGGAAGACCTTCTATAAAGTCCATTGAGAGGCCCTCCCACACCTTATCCAGTGGCAGGGGCTGCAACAAACCTTCGGGCTTCAAGGCAACACACTTGCTCTGTTGACACTTTATACTTGGCTACATAATCCAGTATATCTTTTTTCATGCTTGCCCAGAACCACTCTGCCGCGAGCCTTCGATAAGTCTTGAGAACTTCGGAATGCCCACCCACCACACTGTCATGATACAGTGTGAGCAGCTCGGAAATATAGGGCCGAAACACCTCATTCAATAGAGCCTGAAATGTCGCCGGAGCATTGGTTAAACCGAAGGGTATAATCAAGAACTCATAGTTCCTTCATGCGTCGGGAAAGCTGTTTTCGGCACATCCTCGCCATGTACACAGATCTGGTGATAACCAGACTTCAAATCTATCTTTGAAAAGATCATTGCTCCATACAACTCATTTATTACGGGGATCGGGAACCTATCCGGCACAGTCTCCCTGTTTAAGGCCCTACAATCCACACAAAAGCGCCTACCATCTTTTTTCTTGACTAAAAGAATAGGCTCGAAAAAGGACTTACACTCGGTTGGATTATTCCCGCTACCAACATCT